GAAGATTGAAATAAGTTGTACAGTTTATGACATTCTCCCCATCTTTACAGCTCAAGTATGCAGTGACTTGACGTCATTTTCAATTATGACGTCATACATTTGTAGTTCAGAGAAGTTCATGCAGAGAGTACACTACAATATTCTCTGGGAAGCCTTATCGTACCTGCGCAATGTATATCATGCTAAGTATGGTATAGACTATAGCAATTAAGTAATTATATCACCTTGTCATACTCCCGTTTTTCACACATTTTTTCATTACCTGTAATTCAAATGTGTGCAAAACAGGAACAAACCGTTTGTATCATCTGTCCTTAAGTCTTAGAATTTTCAGAAAACAAGGCTTGTTTGTTTTAAATAGTTGGTATGTACGTAATTGAAAGCCCTTGTATAACCATTCAAAAATTTGGTCAAGGTTAAAGTTTTTAAAAGTATAACAAATTGCAAGATCAAAAGTTGGTATCCAAAAGAAGGTCTTGTCACAAGAAATACATCTGCGAAATAAAAATTAAAGCCCCAGTTGAACAAACTTAAGGATAATGTTGATTTTTTTTCAAAATAAGGCAAACTCTGAGGTCAAGGTCATTTTTTCTACACTCAATAAAAAGGCCTTGTCACAATTGATGTACATGTGAAGTATGAAAGCCCTAGCACCAAGTAAAGAAAAGTTATGGCCATGGATAATGATATTAAAAAATTTTTTGGTAAAAGTAGGTCATACTCTAAGGTCAAACTCCTAGGTTAAGAGGTCAAATTTGGTGGTACCATTAGAGAGGTCTTGTCATGATATACCTGTGAAATATGAAAGCCATAGCCCCATCCACTCAAATGTAATGGACACAGTTAAAGTTTTTTTATAGACCCACAAGCAGAAAAACAAATAAACCAAAAATAGTTGGAGAAGGCAAAAATGATATCCCCCTGAATCTACGATTACAGGGGTATACCGTATATACTCGCCTATAAGTCGGTCCGCCTATAAGTCGGTTGTATTTAATAAGCTTGTATATCAGATGGACTGACCTCACATAAAAACATACTTTTAAAAGCTCGCCTATAAGTCGGACAATGAGTTTTAGACCAGAGATTAACTCCAAAAAAACCGACTTATAGGCGAGTATATACGGTAAATGTTAATTTTGAGTTAGGATCAAAATTTATTTATTTACTGTAAAATCAAATATTTCTGTGGGGTAATTTTTTTTTTGTGGTTTTATGCCTCTACAATTTCTGTTAAACAAATATTCTTAAGAAAAGGATTACTTATACATCAGTTGTTATGAGTTAAACACAATAGAAGACATTAAGTTCATTTATGATGAAAAAACAAACTAAACTAGTGCTAATTGTAACGGGAACCGTTACAGATGTTCCCCAAACGCTCCCCAACTCCCTTTTGGTGCCATATTCCCTGTAAGCCTTATTAAATAAGACAACATCTGTGCATTTTTGACGTTAACAACGTTTTCCCAAAAGGATACCAATTATATTCAAATCTTAACATTGCACGCGTGCCCAAGTGAATGCACGTGCATAATGATCATATAATCTTGTCTACACTTTCTATATATTTATATATACTTTATATTAAAGCAATTAGTCCAAAAGTATTAGAAATCACTCATTCAAGTGTATTTTTAATTTCACTCATTCCAAATGCACGCACGAGCATGCACGTGCATGATGACCATACCTTCTTGTAGGAGGCCCTTATATCTATCTATGTTCTAAATCCCATCCTGTTTGGTTGAAAACCAAGGGAATTATAGCCATTTCAAGTTTCAGCCAATCAGATTGCAGCACGCGTGCATCCACGTGATTTCAAGAATATTTTTTTAAATCATATTGTAGAATATCCTAATGCATGACTATGTTTTAAATTTCAAAGCATTTCGTCACAATTCAAAGGAGATATTGCCATTTAAAGTTTCAGCCAATCAGATTGCAGCACACGTGCATGCGCATGATTTCTTGAAATTTTTTATATATCATATTACAGGATATTCGATTGCATGACTGTGTTTTAAATTTCAAAGCATTTTGTCAAAGAACAAAGGAGATATAGCCATTTAAAGTTTCAGCCAATCAGATTGCAGCGCACGTGCATGCACGTGATTTCATGAATTGTTTTCCATATTATATTGTAGGATATCCTAATTCATGACAATATTAAAAATTTCAAAGCATTTCGTCGGAAAACAAAAGAGATATTGAGATTTTTGTTTCAGCCAATCAGAGCAAGGCGCACGTGCATGCACGTGAGTTCGTGCTAATTTGACAGTGTCATATTATTAACACTATTAATATATCCTTATGTAATGAGTTTCAAAGCATTTCATCAAAAAATGTAAAAGTTAGAGCTATATTAATTACATCAGTCAATTCACTCATATCACGCGCACGCACGTGCAGGCGTATGCGCGCAAAATGACCTTCGTTCCGCACACCTACACTACACACCTATTAACCCTAAAAAGGTTTTAGCTCAGTTGGGTGAACAGTTTCTGAGAACACTCGCGGACAAAAAAGTACCGGAGAACAAATAAGAAAAAAAATAATAATAATAAGAAACAGAGTAAAAACAATATGTTCCCAAATTCCGTTTGGGGAACATAATTTTGTTATAAAAATGTATCGTCCTTTAGAAAACGAATACAGCATATTTTAAAACAGGCATGTAGTACATGTATATTTTTTGAATATTGGCAAGCAGCTGACAAACTATAAATTCAACACTAATATTAAGATATAAGATAAGAGTAAACAAATTTCTTTTTTTATGCCCCCTTAAACAAAGTTTCCGGGGTATAAAGTTTTTGTCTTGTCCGTCTGTCTGTCTCTCTGTTTGTCCACAAAAACTTTAACCTTGCCCATAACTTTTGATATAGTGGAGCTATGACTTTCATATTTCATATGTGTATTCCTTGTGACAAGACCTTTCATTGAGTACCACCAAATTTGACCTTTTGACCTTGACCTTGGAGTTTGAGCTACTTTTACATGAAAATTTTAAAATTTTACTTTGGCCATATCTTTTGAACAGTAGACACCAGGACATTTATACTTCACATATGTAAATATAAATGTTTGTTAAAAGACCTTTCACTGGATACCACCAACCTTGACCCTCTGACTTTGACCTTGTAGATTTCCGTACTTGTGAAAAAACCTTAACCTTGGCAATAACTTGTGAACAGTAAGGAATAGGGCTTTCATACTTCATATCTGTAATCCTTGTGAGAAGACCCTTCATTGGATGTGAAGAACTTTGACCTTGACCTTTGAGATTGACCTACTTAAAAAAAAACAAACCTTGACAATATTTTTTAAAGAGCAAGGGCTAGTGCTTTCATACTTTACAAATTTGATCCTTATGACAAATCCTTTCATTTGATAACAATAATTTTGACCCTTTGACCTTGACCTAGGAGTTTGACCTACTTTTTAAGAAATTGAACGTTGACCATAACTTCTGAACGGTAAGGGCTAGGGCTTTCATGCTCTACATAAGTATTTCATGTGGCAAGACCTTTCCCCAGATACTAATTACATTCACCTTTTGACCTTGACTTTGGAGATTTTTGTACTTATTCAAAAACTTTAACATTAGCTTACTTTCAAATTTTACAATTGTTTTCCAGTGAAAATACCCTACTTTTGGTACCAACTAATTAAATTTGCATTTAAGAAAAGCTTAATCTTTGCTTTGTTGCCATACGGGGGCATCAGTGTTTTACAAACACATCTTGTTTTTATTGAAAATCATATTTTGGGCAAACGTCTAAAACATAGGTAATCAAAGATTACAAAGCTCACCTCAATGAATGTTATCAGTTTAGGTTATGCAAATCTCACTTCATATTTTTTCAACAGTAAGTATTTATTCTGACAACAATATTCAAGCAAGTTCTGTCAAAATAGGTCTTAAAATTCATTGGATATTGAACTGTTCCAAAAACTTTAACCTTGTCACTCTTTTGGTAAACATGGATAAGATCCAGTTTTCGAAGTAAGTTTCAATTGCCATCCATGCAAGTTTGGTCCAGTTAGGGCTTATAGTTTCTTGGGAATAACCTAGTCAATAATCTGGAAAAATGTAGGTCTAGTAGCGTCCATCCCTAGATGCATCATCCATTGAAGTTTGGTCCATATAGCCTAGGCTGATGGTTACTAATGGACCTGCTCCAAACACTTTAACCTGGTAACTCATTTGGAAAATGTAAGTCACATCCAGCATCTGAAGCAAGGTGGAAGTGTCCATCCCTAGATGCATCATTTATGCGAGTTTGGTCCAGGTATGGCTTATAGTTACTTGGAAATTGACCTGCTCCAAAAACTTTTAACTTGGTCACTCATCTGGAAAATATAGGTCACATCCAGCATCCGAAGCAAATCTGGTAGTGTCCACCCCTAGATGCATCATCCATGCAAGTTTGGTCTGGGTAAGGCTTATATATTTATTTGGGAATTGACCTGCTCCAAAAACTCATGTCACTCATCTGAAAAATATAGGTTAAATCCAGCATCCGAAGCAAGTCAGGTAGTGTCCATCCCTAGTTGCATCATCCATGCAAGTTTGGTCTAGGTAAGGCTTATAGTTACTTGGGAATGGATCTGCTTTAAAAACTTTAACCAGGACGCCGATGCTAACGCAGGGTTATAGCATAAGCTCATCTCAACTTCATCAAGGTGAGCTAAAAATTTTATGAATGGCCCCAACTTGCAGACTATAAATTAACAGCTGAAGTTTAAGGTAACTAATTGTTCTATCTTGTAAAAACCTTTTAGGTGAACATTTAAACTATTAAAACTATTATCAGTTACATGTATAACTATTCTAATTTCACATTTATAAGTGTTTTTGAATAATAAACAAAATAGCCCTTACCTACCTACCTTTTTTTCCCATTTTCTATGAAGAAGAGGACATTTAAATATATTTTTAGATATGGAAAATGTAAAATTTTTATTTATAGAATAAAAAAAGTCATGTAACATACCTTCTGAGTCTTCACCCTTGAATTGGTTTTAGGTGTGCAATTCAGTTTGTGTTGAATAAAGACGTCAATATCTATGAAATGTGTATGACATGTTCCACAAAAGAATCGATCAGAAGAATCTAAAAACAGAACATCTGTAAAATGGTTACTGATTCCAGAGTTATACTACTAAACTAATTAATCTCTATGTATGTTTTTTCATATCAAAATAAAAGTAAATAAAATAAAAAATGCTTTTCAAAAAAGCTTATTAAATTAAAGCTTTATTCAGTAATTTCCTTGCAATTAAATAAATTTCATTGTTTCACTAACCTCCATTGTCAGGCACTTTACAAACTTTGCTCTCTTCTTCATGAACCTTTAAAAAATAATACATGGATTTGCAATCTTTTTTTCTGAGTTTACTCTGAAATATATTTCAGCAAGCTCATAAAAGTATATCTAAAAGTCTTTCTGTGCTTAAAAAATATGTCAAAGTCTTTCATCTACAGTAAAACTCGGTTATAACGAAGTCACTGGCCGGGACCTCTGAAATTACTTTGCTATATCCGTAATTCGTTATATCGATCTTTATAAGGAATTCGTTAAATATACATAGCTGGGGATCCAAGATAACTTCGTTATATTTACAAATTCGCAATATCCATGTTTGTACTAAACAAGTTTTACTGTATTAGTTTAATTTGAAGAAAAAATCCATAAATACATGTACTATAATTTACCCGGTATTACTTACATCTATCTAAAAACCATACTTGAAAAGGCATCAAAATAATGAATGATTCCACAAAGTCCGACACTTCTGCTTCATACTAGCTAGGATATTTTACTTGAAAAAGACACTAATGGTAATCTAACAACCAAGCTATATGATAAACGTGATGACTTTAACTTTTCTATCGTCAACTTCCCTTACTTATGCAGCAATATACCTTCATCACCTGCATACGGAGTATTTATATCTCAGTTGATTCGATACGCAAGAGCATACTCTACGTATGAACAATTTCTTAAACGAGGTAAATTATTGACAAGCAAGTTGATGAAACAAGAATATCAACAGTCTCGTTTAAAGTCATCATTTCGTAAATTCTATGGTCGATACAATGACCTTGTCAGCAAATACAATTTATCATTGAATGAAATGCTGACTGACGTTTTTCATACCAATTGTTAGTCCATTATTTATACACTGAATTGACCACGGATTTTTCCGTTATATCCTGATTATGACAACGAGCGCACGGCGGGTGTGACCGGTAAGCAGGGGATGCTCACTCCTCCATGGCACCTGATCCCACCTCTGATGTTTCGGGGGTCCGTGTTTGCTCTGCTCTTATTTTGTATATTTGTTTAATGGACGTTGAGATTGAATACTGTTCGTTATTTCCATATCCTTCCTACACATTTCCTACCAGGGCCTAAATAAAAAAAATACCCTTTTCCCCCCTAACTTGACTGCCCCAATTAAAATTGAAAGTTTTTTGGTTAAGATTATTCAAGTTTTTTAATCAATATCAACTTTTAAAAAAAAAAAAATTCATCAAAATTTGTTTTGATCAGAGAGGTTGATTTTGTTCTGCTGTGATTTTCAAGAATTTATTATTAATCTTCAACATATCCTGATCCTTGTATGTAAGTTTGGTGAAAATCTGCCTGGCGGTTCTGGAGAAGAAGATTTTTCAGCAAGTTGTACTTTTGGTTTTGTTTTCCTGATTATCTCCCCTTTTTTTAGGGTCCCAACCCTTATTTTAGTATAAATGGTAGCCCTTGGGCCAAGGATACCCTGTGGCAAATTTGGTACTGATTGGCCAAAGGGTTCTTGAGTTATGGCCCATATTCTTAAAAGTTAACGCACACCGCACAAATGGCCATAGCATTAGCTCTTTGAGCCTTTGGCTCAGAAGAGCTAATAATGGACGAAAAATTAGTACGAAAAACGTCAGTCAGCATTTGACTCAATGATAAATTGTATTTGCTGGCAAGGTCATTGTATCGACCATAGAACTTACGAAATGACGAAAGATCTTGGACACATTACTCATAGGAATGTCAAATTGGTCAAGTTTTAATACTTGGTTACTAAGACAATTTTCTGATCAAGTACCCAGGTACTCGGTAAAAGTGTAAATTAATAAGCAAGTAAATTGATGACTGTAAACTTTGTAAACTCTTGTAGAGAAAAACGCACACGCTCTAATAAAAGGTTTACCATTAAATTAATGTATTTCTCTTGTTACAATGATAAGCACTTCATGCCCGACGAAATTTAACATAACATTTTTTTAAAGTTCAATTCATTTATCAGATAAACACAAGAAATAAAATTATAAGTGGTTCACATTTTTTTTGTTTTATAAATAATCTGCTCCATAATTGCATCAGTCTTCAGTTCTAACAAAGCGAATTTACGATTTTCGTACACTTTTTGGCTCCAAGATTTTAAAGTTAATTACGGAATGGTATTTGGTAGTTTAGTGCAAAGATGTATAACAGTTTTTTAAAGCCTTCAGTTTGTTTTCAACCATTTGTTTTAATTGGCATGTAATCAAACACAACCATATCAGCGATGTAATGACATATAAGAACTACGAACTCTAACTCTTGATTCCCGCCTACATTTTGCACTCATTAAATTCAATATTAATGGCAATCTGGCCATTAAATCTTTGTTAAATACAAAGAACAGTTCTATGGTAATTGATTAATCATTTTAATTCCAGTGCTAGATAGTAAATTATCATAAATTCCAGTTCTTGAAAAAAGGGGGGTAGACGATATTTTCTAGTGAAATCGAACTTTCAAGGATCACCATATTTTGAAATAGTTTTAAATATGATACAAGAGGCCCACGGGCCTTATAGGTCACCAGAGTATTGTGCAACAACTTTCAAACAATTAAATTTGGTTCATGTTTTAAACCAGAGGCAATGGAATTCGCAATTCACAATTTTGAAATAGGTACCATTGCTTATAATAATTTAGACTTAGCATGCTAACTCTATTTACTTAATACCCAGAGGTAGATCAGAGTAACATTAAGAGAAAATGCACTTCCACTTCATAATCAGTTGTAAACCTCATCCCAAAGGAACCACTGATCCTGGGGCCACATATTTCAAAATTTTGTAAATTTTATCATGGTTAATTAACACAAAAGAGCAAATTTCAAAGCATTAATTTATTTTCAGACTTTGTACCCCCCCCCCCCCCCCCCGACCCAGGGAAGGGGCTGGGGCATAAAAAATAACCATTTTGCTATGTGCACCTTTTTTCATCATAAATATATATATTTGGATCATTATAGGCATAAACACAGGAGCAAAGGAAAGAATTTCAAAGAATAAATGCATTTTCACTATATAACCAATAGAGCCCCGCCCTAACATCAGAACCCCTGACCCTGGGGTCATAAAATTCACAATTTTGAAAGAGATACTCTTGATCAACATAGCTATTTAATTACATACTTTATCTAATACCCAGAAGTAGAGAAGAAGATTTTCAAAGAATAAATGCATTTTCACTATATAACCAATAGAGCAGCCCCCCCCCCCCCCCCTAACACCAAAACCCCTGACCCTGGGGTCACAAAATTCACAATTTTGAAAGAGGCTTTCTTGCTCATCGTAACTATGTGCTTAGTTAGTTTATTTAATACCCAAAAGTAGAGAAGAAGATTTTCAAAGAATTACTATCACTACCTGCGGATGTTTTAACATGAGTTTCATCTTTCCTGGCCCAGCGGTTCTGGAGAAGAAGATTTTTTAAAATTGTCTTTAATTCTTAACAAATTCATTATTATCTCCCCTTGGAAAAGGGTGTGGCCCTTCATTTGAACAAACTTGAATCCCCTTCACCCAAGGATACTTTGTGCCAAGTTTGGTTGAAATTGGCCCAGTGGGTCTTGAGAAGAAGATGAAAATGTGAAAATGCGACAACGACGAAAACGACAGACAACGGACAGACAATTGTGATCAGAAAAGCTCACTTGAGCCTTTGGCTCAGGTGAGCTAAAAACACATTTTTTACCAAAATTATAGATTTATCTCTCTTTGATATCCCAAATAAGTAACGTTTAATTAAAATTCATATAACTAGAGCCGAGCTCGTTGCAAAGCAACGAGTAGGTCTTCCGTTGGAGCAGTGGACAGGAAGTACAGACCTTTGGTCAATTAAGGTCACTAGACCTTCTTATGTCAACAACCTTTCTTCTCTGCACGAGCCTCCAGTGAATTTAAATTACAAAGTTATGCTTAAACATTTTTTCTTTGTCAGTGACCTTGATTTGCCAGAAAGACATTTGATCAGAGTCATGACAAAACCTCCAATCATAAGAAATCTATGTTTCACATAAAAGCCTCCAATGATTTTCATTTACTACTTCATGGCGTAGTAAAGAAAATATTTCTTCTGTCAGTGACCTTGATCTTAACAGAATAACCTTGGCTCCTTGTCAAGACAAACACCTTTTAGTGATTAGAAGTTCATAACTCTGACAGGAATTTTATAACTTTTCTGTCATTGGCCGATGAAGATGTTTGAAATTTGCATTATGTCATTCCATTTTGTCACAGGTCAGAAAAAACAACATTGAGGTATTTTAAAACATCACCGGATATTAATGTTCAAACAACATGGAGTATTTATTTATGAAAGATAGACGGGGTTGGAAGTCCCTTCCATAATACGTATTTTAGGTAATAGCTAACTTTACTTTCAATAAAATTAAACTCAAAAGTCCAAAAATGAAATATCTTTCCTCATTTATTTCAAAGTTTGGGTAAAAGGGGGTGAGGAGAATGGGGATGTCTTGATGTATCTCTTATACATCGAGGTTATTATTCTCTACATGTTAGACAGGAAGACCCGAGGAGTTGTGATTTGCTGATCATGATCTAAAACACGCTGACAAACCTGACAAACTGAAACTACGTGGTTTTATACACCTTATTCAATCAATTTATTCATAATTATTTCCCTTGAAGGAGGAATACATGGATAAATGATTAAAGAAAATTCCCGATGTACAATAGCATCCATGCATGGACTTCATTTTAGTACTACTGTCTACATAATGATATTGTTCTTGAAGTTGAATAAAATCATCAAATAGATTAAATTTAAATAGGAAAGGAATATTATGTGTAATAGAATAAAAATTAGACAATACTTGATACAAGGACTCGCTGGTAAAAACATGTCATGTACATCAATAATATTGCCCTGCAGGACCTTTAAATTCTTTAAGAATAGATGAAACATGCGGTGTCATAAACAGTGAAAACAAAGTCACGGATTCATTTTACATACACCAAGAAGGATTACTTTTTAGCAGAAACAAACGAAAACAATTAACAACCAAATCTTCGCTAAACAAGTAATGTGCAATTTTTGACATGTCGAAGTAGTGAGCTCTATCAATCAGCATGTTTGTATGGAGGAAATTCAAGTTTAAGGGGAGGAAGGACCTTTAGCTGAAAAAATACCTGTCATTTAATTTTTTTCATATTTTGTATATATCTTATTTAGTATGTCCTACATACTGTAAAGCAGACATATCAATAGGTTTTTCTAGACTTATTTCTGAGATATTGAGTGACAAATACCATACCCCACAGTGTCTGGGCGGAGTATTTATTCTCTGTGTTTTTGGGTCCATTACTAGGTCGATAATTGACATTTTTCACCATAGATAAAAAATATACTAGCGGAAATGTGTCTTTTAAAATATTTTAGGGTATGAATAGGATTAAAAATTCGAAAAAGCAAGATCCTTTTGTAACACCACATCTTGAGACAGAAATTTACGACTTTTTTAGGACAATTTAAACCATAAAAAAATTAATTTGCAAAGAATACTATCATTCAATATTTTAAAATTTACGTCGAAGTTCAAGGTCGTCATTGTATTGATTAACTGTAAAAATATCGATTGGTGAAGCTGAGCTCAATATTGCAGGGGGCAAAGTTAAACAAGTCATGATCATGAAAAAACATGTCATTTTAACATTTCTCGAGTACGGGAAAACCCAACTATGATGTACGTCACACATTCCTGAAATAAGCGAAATAAGACAAACCCACAGAACTTTTCCGTCAACAACCATGTAAAAATATTTTTTGCGTTCTGAAATTTAAAAAATTACCTACCATGTACATATTATGGCCCGTTTTTATGATTTTATACTACCCGTTTTTACCGTGTATGATCTAACTGAACTAAGAGATCCACTATGACGTCAAAGACGTACTGGACGCGCAGAGTAGGCAAATGGCAGAGTGGATTAATCTATTCCGTAATTTGATATTATTTGCAAGAAATTTTTAATGTTTTCAGATATTTTTATACAAGATGGTGAACGCAAACAAACTGTCAAAAAAATTATACAAGTACTGTGGTTTCAATCTCGTTTTATACATATTTTATCAGAGATTATGACGTAAATCAACTGAGTCACGTGACCATACATCCTTCATCCCCTTAAATCGACAACATTTTTGAAATTAAAAATGTTATTTACTTGCACAATTTACTGTGTTGGTGTTAATTTATACATTTGCTTTATTGTTTTAAAATATGTTTATAATTAAAGAAGTTTAAAGCTTTTTTCTGAAATTTAAATGTAATGTTCAAACATTCCTTGGGTAATTCAGAAAGAGAACCCTTGAAAAGGGACTTTTTAAACCAAATGTTTTCTAAATTGAAATTTTCATTTCGTTAAAACATTCTTCATTCAGTTTGTTAAATGCAATTCATTGAAATACATTTCTTGTCTCTTCAGAACTCATTTTAAGAAAATTTTATGCGCAGATTAAAAAGACAAGGATCGACATTAATTGTTTTTTAGAGGAAAACTATTTTTTCTCATAAAATTAATATTAGGTATTATGAGGTTTTTTCATTCTGTGTACCTGTCTAAAGATGTCCATCATTTTATGATACATGAAAAAGAACATAAAATAAATTTTAAAAATTATTAACGATATCAATATCTCCATTTGGATATTTGGCATCTACATGATAAGTGGTGCTGTCATGATATCTAAAACAAGAGGCCCAGGGGCCACATTGCTCACCTGAGCAATTGGCTAGGAAAAAACAGAGATCAAGATCAGATCAGAACAGAAAAAAACTGGGGGGGGGGGGCTTGAATTTTACACCCCCCCTCCCAAGGGGATCATGATTTGAACATACTTGAATCTACACTACCTGAGGATGATTCAATATAAATATAATGAAGCCTGGCTTTGAAGTACTTGAAAAGAAGATTTTAAAAGTTTTCCTTATATTCTCTAAGTTAAACTTTGATCCGCCATTTTGGCCCCACCCTACCCCTGGGGGTCATGATTTGAACAAAATTGAATCTACACTACTTGAGGATGATTCCATATGACTTTCATCTTTCCTGGCCCAGTGGTTCTTCAGAAGAAGATTTTTTGAAAATGCCATTAATTTTTCTCTAATTCATAATTATCTCCCAATCCCTTTCACCCAAGGATACTTTGTATCAAGTTTGGTTGAAATTGGCCTAGTGGTTCTTGAGAAGAAGATGAAAATGTGAAGAGTTTACAACGACATCAACGACAACGACTACAGACAACGGACAAATTTTGATCAGAAAAAGCTCACTTGAGCCTTAGGCTCAGGTGAGCTAATAAATTGTTAATGTAATGAGCCACCTTAAGCCTTAGACAAGATCACTACAAACTTCTTTAATAAGATTTTTCATGTTTGAACATACTGATTGAATCAAAGATCTGAATTTAAGTGAAAAACAGGGAAGAAACTGACAGAGATACAGAGTATTTCTCTTTATGGGGAAAACATAATTGATGTAAGGACTACTTTTATTATATTACCAGCATTTCTTGATTGCAGCCCCTGCATAGAATGCTAACAACATCATCGTTGATATATTCCTCTCCCACACAAAAACTCTTTTTGTGGAAGTTTCTTCCACAAGAAATGCAAGAAGTCTGAAAGAGAATTTATAAACATTCAAAGTGATCAATTCAAGCCAACATTTTGTCAAGGTCAAAAGAAATGTCAAGGTCAAAACATGGTGGGTCTCATGAATAGCTCTCACTAATATTTATAAGCATATGCAAATTGATAAATACATTGTATACCTTTAATGCTTTCTTAGACACTGAACTAAATTCTAAATATGACCAAGATCATTTTTGAAAATTCAGATTACAGATTAACAGTGAATACAACTAACAATCTCACCTTTTCATCACTGATCAAGATTCCATTTCCACAACAAGGACAAGCATGTTTTTGATATACTGAAAAGAAAAATAAACAAGATTTATGATATACAAATTTTTAAAAGGATATTTTGATACACAGAACAAGAGGCCCAAGGGCCTTGAATTGCTCTTCTGATAAATTGTACAATCTGTCACTTCTTTGAAGCCTCCGACTCTAAGTATGATAAGACCCAAAATTACCCAAAGCTTGATAATTCTTATCCAATTCAGACAACGCAATTTTACAGTATTTGATATTATTAAAACTAGCCAGTGCAACTTTGTTGAGTCCGAGTTTTTCAAAATGTTAAATCTGCCGAAATTTTACGCCAATGTATTCACAGCACTTAACAAATGTGAAATGCAAAGAAATGTTAATAATTTGAATAGAGACGCATTCTTAAGTGAATTTTTAAACCAGAAGTCTCTGTCGAGACTGAAGCTCTACTGGTTTGTACTTATAGCAAAGGAAGAGAAAAGTACTTAAAGTAGTTCTATACTCGCACTACGTCATTTACGAATAGTAAAACCGGAACCGTGCGTCCTTTTTCCGAGATGAGAGTTTTTAACTATATTGGTTTGACTTTTACTAAGCGTTTTAAATATCCGGTAACGATTTTGCTCGAAGTCGGTCGCGTCAACAAACACATATTGTACAGTTTTAGGATAAATTAATTAAAAAGAAAAGGCTGGGAACAACTTTCGGTTGACAGGAATAATTAGGTAATAAAACGATATTTCTGTGAATGATGCAAGTTTGATATCCCGCGTCGAAAACACGGACCATATACATGCTACATCAGAACATGACTGTATCAAACTATCGAGGCGACTATTGTCGGCGGCCACGTTGAAGCTAATAGTGATAATTCGGAAGAAAAGTAATGACTACGATTTGACTTAGAAAATTTATGGATTTTACTATAATCAAACATTACAAAATTTACTGTAAATAATAATAATTGCATAAAACACATACCCCCTCCCCCAACCTGCTTACCCACGAACCCCAATGCAAAATAATCTTTTGAATAAGTATTTGACAAAAGTTGATTCACTTGCAGCATACTGTACTGTACTATACTTTCTGTAACAAAATCATCCAGTTTCTGAGAATCAGTGAATTAATCCAGCGAAGTTTAAGCGAGGTGAGGCGGATGACGAGAAAAGAGTTGCAAGCCTTCTCTCTTTATATTATCAGTCCAAAACGTGAAGAGTGTGTGTGTTGGGGGGGGGGGGGGGTTTCCAAAGTTAGACCTAGTATAGACATTGAACATTGCTGCGTAGGTATAGCCACGAAATAGGAGTTTTGTGTTTGGAAAATACACGTCCTTTGATGTGGTGACAATGTGACGTAGAATTTTAAGTTCTCAACAGCAAAGCGTCAGCTCGTCACAAACAATGTAATCCTTTAGGTCTTTTGCGATTGGTTCTAAGAGTTTGTACAAGCTAGACCTCGTGAATTTTTCATTTCGCATGCTGAATACTAAAAAAAAGCATTTCTAAAAAAAAAAGGGTCCTTTCGGGACTTGGATTCGGGATCACTCACATGGGAAGTGAGAAACATACCACTAGACCACGGAATTGCTTTACATGAAAAAAAAGTATATGCAGAAAAGAAGTCACACTAATCTTGATTTCAATGAGAAGCTAATATGGCTTTTCACAAATGAAAAAGAGACAATCTTAAGATTACTAAGTCAGTTCATATCAAAATATGATTTTTGAAAATTACTACATTGTTACTTTTTGTAATTTATAATTTTGCTCTTATTGCCTATCCACATTAGACATGAGGAGAAATGTAACCTTTTAATCATTTTATTCATTTCAGATATTTTACTAGAATTCATGCAATTCCTGAAGCACTGTCCCTTTGTGTCTTTTGTAGACTGGCAACTATTAATAGACCTTCATCTTATAATTCTTATAATATTTTTTACAATATTTGCACATGGCCATGGTTTAATCTTTTTATTATGCTCATAATGAGAAGCTTCCAAGTGAAAATGAGTCAATCTTAAGATTAATAAGTCAATTCATATCAAAATATTGTATATAATGTTGATCATTACTACATTGTCACTAATTGAGCTATGTTTGCCCATCTGCATAAGACATGAGGAGGAATGGAATCTTTCATTCATTCTAGAAATTAAACTAGAAATTTTGCATTCCTGAAGCACTGTCCCTTGATGTCTTTTGTGGACTGGCAACCATTAATAGACCTTTATCTTTTAATAAATTTACAATTTTACAATATTTGCACACCACCATGTTAATATTGGTTTATTCTTTTTATTATGTTCATTAATGAAAAGTTAATATGGCTTTTTACGAACGAAAATGAGTAAATCATAAAATTATTAGGTCAATTCATATCAAAATATTGTATATGACTTTTGAATATTAAACTATATTGTATTTACAATATTTGCATACCACCATGGGTAAATTGTTAATTTTTTCATTATGTACATCATGTACATTGTCTCTATTTTATGTAATAATATACTTGTATCTGTGTTACGCCCCCAGTGGGACCATGATTGGAAATAAATTCTATTCTGTAAAAATTCATGTTTGGTATTGTCAAAATTTTACACAATCCATGGTGTTTGATTTATTTACCTTTATTAAACAGTTCTTAGACTAATATATGTAACAAGAACATAAAGTCCGTTGAGAACCTGTTTTATACGCAATAACTCTCCTCATGTCCCTGTGCTAAAAATAGCGACGTAATACTATAAATACTAATAAAACAAATGGAACGGGGCACTTTGAGAGGGGTGAGAGAGGTCTTAGGAAGTTTTGGTATAAAATTACATTGTATAAGCTCAAAATCTTGAAATATTGCCTGGAAATGATAGTGTTACACACAGACAGAATGTATAAATTTTATGACCTTGAAATTTGACCTTTTGACCTCAAAATCAATAGGGTTCTTCTTTATAGCCCATAAGGAGTTGCTATGCTAAATTTCATTGCAAAAGTTCAAAGGATTTTTGTGATATCATGTGGAAATGAAAGCGTTCCAGATAGTCAGAAAGACGGACGGACAAACCTAAATTATTATTACCCACTTTTCAAGCAAGGGACAAAAAAGTAAAGTATTTTGAAAAAAATGGATAGTCCGAGACGAGATCATGGGCCCTCTCACATGTGAAGCGAGAGACATACCACTAGGCCATGGAGCCACTGTAATATAGCAACAATTGTTTATAAACATCAAGTGACATACATGTATATATTCACATTCGACATTGTCAAAATTTTACACAATGCATGGTGTCTATTATAAACTTTATCAAACACTTCTAATAGATGTAATAAGAATATAGAGTCCACCGAAAACCTGTTTTATATGTAATAATTCTCCTCATGTCCCTGTGCTAAAAATAGATATGTAATATAATAAATACTAATAGAACGGGGCGGGTCACTTTGAGAGGAGTGAGAGAGGTCCTAGGTAGTTTTGGTATAAAATTACATTGCAAAATAAAGTAGAGATTTGGTGCTTGCATATTCTGTAATAAAATTTCATTTTGAAAATGCAGATATTGCAAAACAGGTTTGAAAAGTTGCAATGTTCTTGAAATTTTCCGAAAACACGCCTATTTGACTACCTTCAACAAAGATTAAAATATGAGCACAGCCCACGATCCAAAAAATAAAACATGTTTTATGATCTTCAGAAACAGAGCTTTCATTATGTATTTGCATATTTTGGATCGGAGGTTGTGCTCTATATGAAATAATGAAAAAATGCTTCAATTTTAGGTCATTTTCAAGGGAATTTACATGATATGGGGAAAATGTCGCATTTTATGAAGTCATAATGCATTGACTAGATGGGAAAATACGTCACAATAAATAGATACGTGGTCACCAACATTCCAAGTGATAAATACTGCATTTGCAACCTAAACTTATCGGTTTAGATTTTTCAGAAATTCTCAGGGCCAAATAAGGCACAAAGTGGCTCTACCTCTTTACGACCTTGAATTTTGACCTTTTGACCTCAAAATCAATAGGGGTCTTCCTTAGACCACAGGGAGTTGTTATGCAAAATATCATTGCAAAAGCTCAAAGGGTTCTTGAGATATCATGTGGAAAGTGCTTCAACAGACAGAATTTGCTTCTTTATGACCTTGACCTTTGATGATTTGACCTAAAAATCAATAGGGTTCTTCTTTAGTCCATATGGAGTTGCTATGCTAAATTTCATTGCAAAAGCTCAAAGGATTCTTGTGACATCGTGTGAAAACAAAAGCGTTACAGAAAGACGGACAGACAGACAAATCCAAATTAATATCCCCCACTTTTCAAGCAGGGGACAAATTATCTTCTCAAAATTGCAAACATGAAAATACATTAACTCATTATGAAAGTCAAAGTCAAAGTGTCAGAAATCACAGCATGCTTGGAAATATCTCCCATAGTAAATGCACATTTCAAATATAAACTTTGAGGTTCTCTCTCCTCTCAACAAAATGTATTTGTGAAACAATATGTGCCCAGCAGCAACAAAGTATGAAAAAGCTATTTTTTAGCATGTAGGTCACAGTCAATATCAAAAGGTCAATGACCTTGGTGTCATTAAAGAGCTTAATTAGTGAAGTATGCATACCAAATATGTATTCTCTATTTCTCATTATTCAAAAGTTATGGCGAAGGTTAAAGTTGACTACAGACAGACAGAGACAGACAAACAGATAAACAAAAAGACAAAAACAATATACCCCCCGATCTTTCGATCCCGGCACATAATAAAAATTAATATGTTTACAAATTCATGGTTTTTCATGGGATAAATGGAAAACAAACTTACTTTCATATATCATGAGTTTTTCAGCAATGCGTTTTCTTTCTTTCATCAAACTAGAAGAGGCAATCCCAGTTAAAGGTTGCTGCAGTAAATATCTTTCAGCAAACTTAAAAAAGAAATTAAAGCTGTTAAATTTTCTATCACATAAATAATAGATTGGCTTTTCTTTAGAGAAAAAATTGTACAGATAGTGGAATTAAACACTGCATTTGTTATAATAGATTGCTTGAATTACAAGAGGCCCACAGTAATTATTAGGTCACCTGATTAAGGAATCACTGTCTAGTTTTGAAGCCTGTTAAGTTATGCTAAAATTATCCCATGTTTCCCACTATTGTTGATGTCCCTGGCATACTCTCAAAACTAGACAGTGATTCCTTATATTTCCATTTCATTGTGAAAAAAAATTGTAGATTTAGATTTTAAAATATGTACGCAACTAGGTTAAGGGCTACCCAAGGGTAGAACAGTGTATGCAGAGCCTCGGGAATTCGATTATGACGTCACGGTGAAATTGTACAAATGAATCTCGGCGAATAAATAATAATTTTCTTTTTCATATACTCTTACATACTTTGATTTCTCATGATTATTGTATATATTAATCAATGTGTAACTTATCTTGTCAGTGTAACATTAATCGAATGTAAAATCAAAGCCAACTTAATCTCGCTGTACTAACAGATATGACGTCATAGGCTAGTTTGACACGTAGTTTCTCTGTACTTGAGACGCAGATAAAGTTATCAGTGGAACTGAAAAATATGAAAATTAAATCTATATAAGCGTGATCTGACTACAATTGATTCATATTTTTGAATGCATTAATCAATAGTTCACAGTCTTATTCAATTAATAACTATTAGGTTTTTTATAAAGCCGCAGTCATGCACTTTTATATAGAAACGTCTACTACAATCATATGTACAACCCCTCCAAAATCTCAAAAGTTCAACGATATCCGCTTGATTATAAATTATAATATTTTATACACATTTAGATACTGTCCCTACTATTTTGTAAAGTGCTGGGAGCAAGTTGTGCGCTGTCTATTTTTTCCGTAGTTTTACATTTCTTCAATGCGTATAGTGTAAATGCACATACTTTATCAAAAGTCGGCTAAATTTTATATAGTTCCCGGGCAGGGAGAAGTTGCTCCCAGCACTTTTCAGGTTAAGAAATTTGCTTTAAATAAAACACAATCAATTTCATAGTGAAAAATTATCCGTATATCGTTGAACTTTTACGATCTTTGCATCCGTACATATTTTTTCTAATTTTAACCATGTCATGTGACAAACAGCTGATGTACATGAAATCGCGTTGGCCGAACTCGATTGAGACCCCATGCATACATATGCATTAGTATAGTTCCCATTAAATTAAAACTAATGTTAATAAATATAACATTAACAATATATTAATTTTTTCGGAATATTTTAAGGCTTATTTCCTATGGGCGGCCTTAACCTAGCTGCGTAGACATAGAATTAAATCACACGAGGACTTCCATGTCAATTTCAAAAGTCCTCGCCCACTGACGTCAAACACAAAGGCAGCCGCAAGAGATTTACATGGCATTGCATATTTGGCCTCCTTAACGTCAGACAAAGAGACAGAATGGCTCGAGATTTGCATGCGTATTAGGCCTCCTTGGCCCCTGACCTACTGACCTGGCGTATTTATATTCCAGCAGAATTATCAAGAAATAAACTCGGACAACTTTCAAAGAGTTTAAACAATTGATTTCATGGCCTCTGATGTAAAACACAAACTAAATTCAATCATTGGAATGTTGTTACATTATATTTCCATTTCTAATTTTTTTCTCTGTGATAATATCACAGAGAAAAAAATTAGAAATGGAAATATAATGCAACAACTTTCCAATGATTGAATTTAGTTTGTGTTTTACATCAGAGGACATGAAATCAATTGTTTTTTTAAACAGAGGAATAATTGCTCATCATAACTATACACTTAGCCTGCTTTAAGCTTGATTACTTAATACCCAGAGATGGATTGAGTAAGGAACAAAAACAAAACATAGGTAATCATAGATTACGAAGCTCGCCTCGATGAATGTTATCAGTTTAAATAATGCAAATCTCACTTATTTTCACAATATTTAGTATTCATCCCAGCAACAATATTCTTGCAAGTTGTGTTTATAACCCTCTAGATGGCATGTAGTGTAAACAAATATTCATAACTTTGTTAATACTGCAGATATCAAGGACTTCAATTTAAGTTCATTCTGATTGATCTGTTCCCAAAACTTTAACCTGGTCTCTTGTATGGATAATATAGGTCAGATCCAGCATCCGAAGCAAGTCTGATAGTGTATATCCCTAAATGCATCATCCATGCAAGTTTGGTTCAGGTAGGGCTTATAGTTACTTGAGAAAGGACTCCTAAAACTTTAACCTGGGACGCCAACGCTAACGCTGACGCCAATGACTTTGTCGAGGTTAGCTAAAAATACACTCCCACTAATCTGAGCAATATTCAAAAGTGCCTCAGCCCAAAAGAACCCAAAAAAACCTAGCTCTGACCCTGGTATCACACATTTCAATATTTTTGAATAGACACCCTTGTACATCATAAATGTTTGATTAAAACCAAGGAGGAGATCTAATTCAAAATAATAAATTCATTTTTAGCATGATATTGAATGTTTAATCATTTAACTTTCCCCTTTCCCAGTTCCCCATGACCCAGGGGTCTTGATTGTTTGTATTGTTTAATGTCTCTTTCGAGAATTTTTCCTTCATATGGAGATGTCACCACTTGCAGGGGTCTTGATATTCACAATCATGGAAGAATCATACTAAATGCTTATCAGATCTATATACATAATTCACTGGTTTTATCCCATGGATAGAGCGGATTTTCTAGTGACTGTCCCAATAGAATTATTAACGGGACATGACAAACCCTGACCAACAAAGATGAATACTTTAGCATAATACATTCTGTCTAATGACAGGGCGTATACAAATATTTCCTATCTGGCTTGTAACTTGAAATGTTTTTGTGATAAGCAAGTCAACTGTAAATTTCTATACACCAAACTTAAATTGGAGGTAAAATAAGTTGCATAATTTGTCATAATCAAAAGGCAATTAACATGATATCACTTTGCAATGTAATATGTTAGTAATAGTTTGACATATCATCAGTTAGACTTAGAATAACAAAGAATGCTTTTGATTAAATAGGAAATAATTATTTATCAAGGTTAAGTCAAGGGTGTACAGGATTGCCTTCAACCTCAAAGTGTATGGAATAAAGTCCAGGGTAATTCCTGTACCACTCTTGATTGAACTTGGGTAAGTAAGACCAACCCATCATTATCTTTAAGGTTTGTATTATTTGTTCTAAATAAATACAGTAAAACTCATTTAGTATGAACATGGATATTCACTTAATTACCATCAAGCAAAACACTCCACAATTGAATCCATCACTTTGAATTGTATGATCTATGCTGCGCAGTTTCCATGAAATAATTTGTTCCGTTGGCCTCTCATTTAGAAATGCACTAAAAAAAAGAAACCATGAAACAATTGTATTATTCAACTGACTATTGATCTGCTTATTGTTAGTGATGGCAAATCAGATGATTTTCAGTAACCGGTTACTTAAATATTGCTTTATCTTCTGATTGAGTACCCCGTTACTCAGATGATTTATAGTAGTATCAATATCTATTTAAACTCATCTTATTCTTTACTTATCGGTAGTAGTAATGCAAAATATACTGTATAGGGAATCTATTATATTTACATTACATACATACAATATTGTCAAAGATTTATGACTTTAAAATAAAGAAAATTAATAGAGAATTCGGCACACAAAGAAGACAAATAAATATGTCATTGTCAATCACCATTTTACGTTTTCTTTTTCAGCCCCTGAAATATGTGGCAATCAAGGAGAATTGTTATTTACATACTCCATAATTAATAGTTTTAAATATGTGGAGTGTCCAGTAAACATCTGGTTTCTGAATAATTTAAACTTAAATGATTTAACAGAGTTCAAATCAACTGTTCTTTTGTTACAACTCCAACTTTATTATGTCTGCGGCAGCATCTCGTTTTTAGATTATCAAACGAGGTAATTAAAACTCAGGCCTTCAAAATATGTATACCCCAAGCAATCAAAGCTATCAATTATTAACTGTGAAAACAAATCAAAACAATTTCATACACTACAACCATGCACTAGATCAAGTCTACCTTACCTAAAATTAGGGAAATGTGTAAGTTAGTATATACGGGGTTGTCCCAAAAAAGTCGTAGACAGGGAAAACAGTTTAGTTTCTCTTTGCTTAATTAAATTTCTTTCCTTGTCATAGCAAAAAGTCACATTTTATAATCATGTATTTCAAGTTTCATGATGATATCACATCTAATAAGAAAATTATGTAAAAATAATAAAAGAATGTAAGTGTACATCGGCGCATAAAACAAGGGTAAATTACATCTCCTATAACGTCATAATCTCTTTGTCTGCTTCACTCGCGCCTACTTACATTCAATATTTTTTAAGTACATGATAGACCACTCTTGACTAAGGGACTATTTTAAATTCACTACTCTCCGTTTGTTTCTATTTGTTTCTTTTAAAGCAGATTCAAATTTCAGTCAAAATTTAGTCAAGAGATTGCCTTACATTGTAGACATGCAGCAGAAAATACACATTGTTTGAAGTTGTTTGTGGTCCAGATTGTTCCCAATTCTCTGCATTTAACAAACAGTAGTCTACTTCTTACATACCATATAACTATATTTTGTATGGGGTAAAAACTCTCATTGAATATTGTGTAATTTAAAAATAAATTCTTTATTAATATCTGGTGTGTAATGTCACCTCTGTACTCTTTTTCCCTGTCTCTGATGTATACAAATCATATCCAACTCAATTTATTACATCTTCGTGCGCCGGTAACGTGTTCGACGACATCATTTTTATCAAACTCAATTCCAACAAATACTATGAAATTAAAGACACCAATCAGCTGTTTCTTGTGTTATTTATATGAAATTTTGATATTTTAGGAAGATTTTGATTCTGGTTTCAGTGATTTAAATTTGAATTCAATGTATAACATAGTACTACATTATTGATATTAAAGATATCATTAAAAATTCACAATTTTAAAGAACATGCATTGAATATAAGTTATGTCTATGCAAAAATTGGTTTATATTGGTTGCATGTTTTAAAAATTTTAAACATTGTCTACGACTTTTGGGGACAACCCTCATATTTATATTTATTATTAAACATTCGTTTTCTATGCCTTTACTATGTAGAATTTATTTTACCCGAGTAACCAAATAGCAGTTTTACTATACAATACTTGAATGTTCGACAGTTAACCGGTTAACCGGGTACTCCTTGCCAACACTACTTATTGTTATTTTTATCAAAGAGGGTGGGTATATAGGTTGCATTACCTCCAATTATTCAGAGCTTTTGATGCCTGTTTCTCTTTGTGTCCAAAAGGGTCAATGTAATAGAAGTTCCCTTTGGATGGCTCCAGTATCTGTAGAATGTTAAAAAATAGTTTCAAATCAAGATCATTGATACTTTTCATGTTTAGCATTGACAATTAAAGTCAAAGTTAATATTTTTACTTTATAGGTTGTGTATCAAAATTTTTGAAAACAAGGCTATTTGACCTGTAAAATCAGAACCTAAAGAGTATCTGCTTATTATAGGCACGATGAATATATTGCTTGAGATTCATATATAAATAGTCAACTGCTACAAAGAACTGTTTCTCCATTTCAAAAATGTACAAGTAATGGATGTGGAAAAGATTTGGTATTATCCTGAGGTGTGTATGACTGCAATACTTCACACATGACAGTGCCTTGTGTAAGCATTAATTAATATGCTTTACTGGAGGGTATAGAAAAAGATTAGGAATATACGTCAATTCTTATTGACCATTTCATAACACTTAATTATTACTTACTTAAGGAATGAAGCTTGTTTAACTTATGTTATCCGATATAACATAACCTTGGACAGTTTACGCTTTATAAACCGCGAAGTAGTTTATAACAAGAGGCCCAGGGGACACAGTGCTCACTTGAGAACATCATGTAGGAAATATTACATATCAGATCAGAACTGAAATCTTACCCAGGTGTGTGTGTGTGTGAGGCATTTTTTGCCAGAGAATAAATTAATTGTTTAAATTTGATACTTTGGGGAGGCTTGAATTTTAACCCCCCAGGGGTCATGATTTGAACAAACTAGAATCTACACTACCTGAGGATGATTCAATATAAATATCGATCACTAATCATGGCTTTGAAGTACTTGAAAAGAAGATTTTAAAAGGTTTCCCTATATATTCCTATACAGAACTTTGTTCAGCCATTTTGGCCCCATCCTAGCCCCGGGGGTCATGATTTGAACAATCATGAATCTAAAAAAAGTACGTAAGGGTTGCCCGCAACCCTGTGTCTCGCCTGCTGTCGCTGTGGTTAGTAAGAAATGATTGTCTGATAAACTGAAGCATTTATTGACATTTCAGAAGGAATAACTCAAAAAGTGGATCGAGTCATTTTGCTGGTTTTTAAAGAGATATTGTCATGGACTTAATAAGAACTGTAAAACGTTTCTATCTGGACTGACTATAGGTATATTTTATATGGATTTAATATATAACTTTTGCATACTGATGAACACAACATGTATCCACTGACAAATTATCATGCCACTATAAGTTATAGTTGCTGAGATATGGACCTCCACCATAAATTTATGCAAAGTCACTCATGCGGAAAAATGTAGGTCAAGATGACCTAATTCTGGTACAGGCGTTTGTGGTTACCCATGATGTATCCACTGACTAACTATCATGCCACTATAAGTTATAGTTGCTGAAATATGAACCTCCATTATCAATTTAACCAAAGTCATTCATGCAGAAAAATGTAGGTCAAAATGACCTAATTCTGGTACTGATGTTGTTGGTTACTTATAACCTGTACAATGACAAATCATCATGCCATTATAAGTTATAGATGCTGAGATATGGACCTCCACCAAAAATTTAACCAAAGTCACTCATGCAGAAAAATGTAGGTCAAGATGACCTAATTCTGGTACTGACGTTTGTGGTTACCCATGATGTATCCACTGACTAATTATCATATCCCTATAACTTATAGTTGCTGGAATATAGGTCTTCACCATAAATTATCATGAAAAAACTAAGTCCAACTTAAGGAAAAAATACGGAAAAATTTGAATTTTTTTTTTCAAAATCATACTTGGGATATAAATTTTTATCCATACTGAATATTGTGTCCAAATTTCAAGAAGACTGAATAAAATTTGAGAAAGTTATTGCAGTTTATAAAACTTTGACATTTGGGTTAACCAAAAGTTGGACGCCGACGACGACGACGACGACGGAATCTATGGTCGCTATGTCTCGCTTCGCGACATTCGTCGCAGGCGAGACAAAAACCTGAGGATGATTTCACATCAGTTTTATCTTCTCTGTCTCAATGGTTCTTGAGAAGAAGATTTTTACAGATTTTTCCTACATACACCTATGGAAAACTTTGATCGGCCATATTGACTCCACCCTACCCCAGGGGGTCATGGTTTGAACAAACATGAATCTACACTACCTGAGGATGATTCCACATGAGTTTCATCTTTCCTGGCCCAGTGGTTTTTAAGAAGAAAATTTGTCCTATATATTCCAAAGTAAATCTTTTAATGGCCATTATTGCCCCACCCTAGCCCTAAGGCTATGGGTCATGATTTGAACAAATCTGAATCCAAACTACCTGAGGATCATAAATTTCTCATGAGATTCATCTTTCCTGTCTCAATGGTTCTTGAGAAGAAGATTTTCAAAGATTTTCCTACATATTCCTATGTAAGAGTGTCTGACTTTGATCTACCATTTTGGCCCCACCCTATCCCCAAGGGTCATGATTTGAACAAACTTGAATCTACACTACCTGAGGATGATCCAACATGAGTTTCATTTTTCCTGGTCCAGCAGTTTTTGAGAAGAAAATTTTTAAAGATTTTTCCTACATACTCCTATGGAAAACTTTGATCGGCCATATTGACTCCACCCTACCCCAGGGGGTCATGGTTTGAACAAACTTGAATCTACACTACCTGAGGATGATTCCACATAAGTTTCATTGTCCCTGGCCCAGCGGTTCTGGAGAAGAAGATTTTTTTTAAATTGCCATTCATTTTTCTCTAATTCATAAATATCTTCCCTTGGAAAAGGGCAGGGCCCTTTATTTGAACAAACTTGAGTCCCCTTAACTCAAGGATACTTTGCAGCAAGTTTGGTTGAAATTGGCCCAGTGGGAGAAGAAGATGAAAATGTGAAAAGTTAACAATGACAACGATGACTATGATGATGATGACAAACAACGGAAAAATTTTGATCAGAAAAGCTCACCTGAGCCTTTGGCTCAGGTGAGCTAAAAAAGCGTTAACTGACCCAAGTTTTGTTATATCGTATAATATAAATTGAAATTAACTTCCTTCCTTATGATTTTATTTCAGTGCATACAATGAGACAATCTTCCCCCAGAATAAGTCTTCACATTGATTAAAAATTTTCAAAGTAACATCAAGCGGAGTTATACGTTTTATGACCTAACTCATTGTGACGTAGGCAAGTTATGTTATACAAAATGGATAAAATCTTTTATCCAATCAAATGACGTGTTACAAGTAAAATTAAATGAAAAACAAATGAATCACATATTGTTGCAAATATAATTTTCTTGAAAAAAAAATCCATGCACAATTTTAAATTTTGCAACAATTTGGATGTAAGTAAAACAATTAATTGTCTCCATACAAATGTCCAAACGGGATAAAATACCCCCTGCTAGGTTTTTCTTCTAGTGACCTTGAACTTCCCCAATGACCTTGGGTCAAGGTCATGACACACCCTTGGGTAATGGGCAATTTTTGTGTAAAATGAGAACCTACTAAGTTTATCCATAAGAAAAATACGGACCAGACACTAATTATGAAATTTTTCTTCCAGTGACCTTGAACTTTCCCAAATGACCTTGGGTTAAGGTCATGACACACTCTTAGGTCATGGGCAATCTTTTTTATGTAATTAGAACCTACCAAGTTTATCCATAAGAAACATATGGACTGGACACAAATTATGAATTTTTTCTTTCAGTGACCTTGACCTTCCCCAAATGACCTTGGGTCAAGGTCATGACACACCCTTGGGTCATGGGCAATCTTTGTATGAAATGAGAACCTACCAAATTTATCTGTAAGAAAGATATTGACTGGACACGCATTATGAAATTGTTCTTCCAGTGACCTTGAAGTTGCCCAAATGACCTTGGGTCTAGGTCATGACAGACCCTTAGTTCATGGGCAATCTTTGTGTGGAGTAGTAGATTCTAATGTCCCTCTGTAAGAAAGATATGGACCGGACACAATTGCACAGACAGATGGACGGACAGACGGACAAAGTGATTCCTATATACCCCCCTTACTTCGTACGTGGGGGTATAAATAAGTTGCTGCAAAATAAGTTGCAAAGGTTGAGGCATTTATAATTGCAAAGTATATCAAAATATTGACTAAGAATTTAGTGTTTTCTTCAATATTCTTATGCACAAATGGCTTAAATGCCAAATCAATAATTACACCAGAACTCATTACTCAGGGTTTTGAACATCAAACTATCGGAAGAAACATCCGTAATGCTCATCATAATCATTTCATTTGTTCAGTGACCCAGGCAAAGAAAAAAGATTTTCTGAGTAATAAAATATTTTTACCATATAATCAATAGTACTGGCTGAACCTGAACCTCTGACACAGAGTTTAAAGTAAGTTTAAATTTTTGGAACAGGCACCTTATTCATCATCTCATCAAAGAGATTTCAACTTACCACAAGAATCCAGTGGGACCTTCCCTGGTTATATGCTCCCAAGACTACGTCATATGATGTCAGAAGATGCTATTTTGAGATTTGAAAAAAAGTTAGACTTAATCATGATGAATTCTTGTATACCGGTATATCATGTATATATATATATATATATATCTAAGATGAACCTTGATATGCAAGTAAAGTGTACATACATTATAGTTTTTTTTATGAAACCCTTTACTGCCTTAGCGTTTGCAAAGGATGCAGTAATTTTATTGCATACATTAATATACATTTATTGACTGAGTTCGAGGGCAACATGCGTTTTGTCGGACCCAAGAACCAAACTGTCTGCCTGAGGCCATTAGGCCGAAGGCAGACAGTTTGGTTCGAGGGTCCGACAAAACGCATTTTGCCCGAGAACTCTGTCAATAAATGTTTTGTTATACCTTTCATTTCATTTTATTTTATTTTTGACATACATGTATTTCGTACTATATTCCGTGATGTAACATTATGTCTGTCACTGTTTAACACCAACGAATGAAAATGAGATTAAGCTCGGCCCATTCTGTGACGTAAGCGGTCCAACATCTCTCTGAGTGGTCCAACATCTCACTCAGCGGTCCAACATCGATTTTTTTATGCCCTCTCAGCAAAACATTAAAAATGTTAGACTTTTTTTCGTATAGATTTGTATAGGAACTAATTTGTAAAGGTATAACAACTAACTGTCTTGACCACCTAACATGCAAATTTCAATTCTTAAAGCGGCACAGTGACGCACACAGGGGAAAATTGACATATGTAGAATTTTCGCATGACCTCTGTAAATTTTGTTCAATTTCTAAAAGTATTCAGTTTCAGAAAATTACATGTTTCATAACCTAAAAATTATATTTTTATGGGGAAAAATTAAAGTAAAAATAATTTCTGTCTGCCTCAGAACGAAAATATTGCAAAATACCCTAGTTCTTCTTCCTCCCTATTGTATGCGTGCGCAGAAAAGTGTTGAATAAGTTTCCATAATTACCATGGTCTCAGGTATCCACGAATGACAGTAAGAAGACCAAAAAATTTGATTTAATCTTTTTAAAAAAGTTTTTAGAACATATTTCTCACTTTTGCATGCTCCAGTTGAATGTTGTTTACAAGTTTGAGGTAAAAATAAGAGCTGCGTGACCTTGACATATACGAAACAACAAAATGGTAGATACAACCTTTATTTTTCCGGCACTTATATTGTGCAGTCAATTCTTGCAGTTTAATTGTCAAATATTCACTAAATACTCATAATTTTCATAATTCTTTCTCTGTATGCTACAGATATCTTAAAATTACGATATGTTTTTGACTCACTGTGCCGCTTTGAATAATACAAGAGGCCCTTGGGCCTTATAGGTCACCTGATAATCATGCAACAAATGTCAAATGATAGAATTTGGCTCAAGTTTTAAGGTAGATGTTATGGCATTCACAATTTTGAAAGAGGCTGGCAGTCTGGCACCATTGCTAATCATAACTATGAATTGCAATTTGCAGTTGCTTATTTTGGTAACTTAACGAGGCCGAGTCTAATTCGAGTGCGCATCACTTTGCGCAGCTTTTTAATTTCATGCAGTTATTAATTATTTCAATTTTAGTACAAAATTAAGATTATTTGTAACTCATACTGATCTGAAAATGTAATTTTACGACAATTATTTGGAAAAGAAAGTTGAAACGGCTCTTACAACGTCACCATAGATACGTATTTGTAACGTAATATGGCAATTTTAGAGGCATTTGGCTTCGACCTAGACCAGTCGAGATGGTGAACTTTTTTGAAACTTCACAATTTGGTGATTTTTTACATTCACTTTCATTTACTTGAATTAAAAAGAAATCCCTAGGGCAGAAGTACAAAAAATATTGAAAAAATGTAATAATTTGGCGATTTTCCAGCAAATTCCCATAGGGTCCAATAGTAAAGTTTGACAACATGTAAGATGGCCCACTAAGAAAACGGGGTGGTAAACATTCGATTTTTTAATCCTTAAACAATAAATATAACAGTAAAAATAAATTATCAAAAAATTATCAAAATCCCTAGGGCAGAAATAATTAGACTCGGCCTCGTTAAAGGGGCTGGGTGGTCGTGGCCATTTTCAAAGTTCTTGCTTCTTTGTAGACTTTTGCACAGTTTTTCTTGATGAATGATAAAAATTTACATTGTTGAATTCAAATTTTATAAAAATAGAATGTAAATAAATATTTTGGAAGCAAGAGGTTCTACATGAACTTTTTCTAAAAAGCTGACAATTGACATACCTTAAGACGGAAACTGCACCAAAACTTTAACAAGAGAGCCAAAGCCACTTCTGATTAGGTATTAAATAAATTCACCCAACTTCCTTGAGGTGAGCTAACAATGTTTTCATTTACACCTTTTAATTAAACAAGGAAGGTAGTTTACAATATCATAAATTATAAAAGATATTTACCTTTGGGAAAAAAGGTGATTTTTCATTTGCTCTGCCTTGAAGCAAAAAACTTCTTGTACATATAGAAGTCATAGCCTGTGTTGGAATGTGCATAACTGGTTTTCCCTTATCCAGTTCTGCTTGGCAAATCATTCTTATATAAGCATCAATAACCTAAAATAAACAAGAGGCCAATGGGCCTTACAGGTCACCTGAGTATCATGCAACAACTTTGCACCATTGCTTATCACAATTATACACTTAGCATGCTTACTTTGGTTACTCAATACCCAAGGCTATCTCAGAGTAACAAAGAGAAAATGCATTTTCCACTTTAACAGTTGTGCACCCCATCCCACAGGAACCACTGACCCTATGGCCACATCTTTCAAAATTTTGGAAATTTTAGAAATTTCATTTTATCATATTGTTGATTAATACCAAAGTGCAGATTTCAAAGCATTAAATTATTTTAAGACTATGTACCCCCGCCCCCCCAAAGACCTCTGTCCCTGGGGCCAGAAAATTAACCACTTTTGGAAGAAGCAGCTTTCTTCATCATAAATATAAACTAAGATCATTGGCATAATACCCAGGAACCAAGAAAAAGATTTTAAAAGGAATCATGCATTTTCAATATAAAAATATTTTAGCCCCCTCCTAACACAAGAAGCCCTTACCGAGGGGCCCTGAAATTCACATATCTCAATTAGACATCCTTCCTCCTCATAACTATGTACATAGTTCATTGGTTTAATACCCAGGTGCAGAAAAGAAGATTTTTAAAGAATTTATGAATTTTCACTATATGATCAATAGAGCCCCGCCCTAACACCAGAACCCCCAACACTGGGGCCGCGAAATTCACAATTTTGGAAGAGGCAGTCTTATATGTACTTGGTTAGTTTATTGAATACTCAGGAGCAGGGAAGAAGATTTTCAAAGAAATAATTCATTTTTCATTATATAATCTATATAGCCCCGCCTAGCATTAAAACCCTTGACCCTGCAGGGGGCCATGAAATTAACAATTTTGAAAGCGACAGCCTAATTCAACATAGCTAGCACTTCGTTAGTTTATATAATGACCATGAACAGAGAAGAAACATTTCAAAGAATTTACATGCATTTTCACTATATAATCTATTTAGCACTGCCCTAGCACTAGAACCCCGACACAAGGGCCATGAATTTCAAAATTTTGGTAGAAGACTCAATGCTGATTACATTCATGCAAACAGTTTGACTGCTTATTGTACAGGAGTAAAAAAGAAGATTTTGAAAGATTGCACTAATTATAGTGATTTTGGCCCAACCCCTACAGCCTCAGGGGGGCAGGGATTATAAAATTCACAATTTTTGTTTCCCTTCACCCATAGATGCTTTATGCCAAATTTGGTTGAAATTGGTTCAGTGGTTTTAGAGAATAAGCTGAAAATGTTCAAATGTTAACGCAGGACGACAACACACACCCGCACAATGACTGGTGAAAACAGATGGCAATAGGTCACCTGAGTTTACTCAAGTGACCTAAAAATCAAATGAAAAATAAATATTATTTGGATTTAGTAACTATTTCATAAAATTAATATTAAAGGGACTATGTTTGGAGAGGCTTGTTCTAAACTGAGATAAATATTTGTGACCCTGTTGTTTGCAATCTAATTAAAATTAGATGCTAGATCAGCTTGCATACTTGCTACACTAACATCTAACAACATTCCATAGAGGGTGACGTCAGAGGTCAAATTCTCTCATTCTCTCAACCAATCAAATTGTTGCTGGCAAGATTTTCTGGTATTTGTTGACGTAATCAAAGTGAATAAGTCTAGAATTTGACCTCTGACATGACCCTCTATGGGATGTCGTTAGATGTTACTGTAACGAGTATGCGAGCGGGTCTAACATCTAATTTTAATTAGATTGTGTTGTTTGCCACTACAATGAAATAAAATAAAATTATACCTCTGTTTATTTCTTCTATATAAAAATAAGACGAATAAACTTCACAGTCTCTGCCGTGAAATAGTTTTTCTGCTATTTGCCCAAGGTGAATAGTCCTATAACTATTCAACAGCAGCATTCGATTTCCCTCGCTTTTCATCTTGGAAAACTACTGATTTTATATGGATTGTGACGTATATATTATGACTTAACAAAAGTAAAGTCAGCATCGGTATAATAAAACACCTATTTACTGACTATTCGGACAATAGCAAGTTTATCGTCCTCCTTTTTTCTGCTCAGGAAATTATATTATTAAAAATTTCTACGGGTAAATCCTTTTTTTACTTTTAACTGCTTTGAATTAGTTTCAGAGTATTTTACATAGGAGAAATATTCAAGGTTAGAAAATGTCCTTTTATGGATTGAATAACAAAAAAAGAAGATTTTAAAATATTTTTCAATGTAAAACTTAGATTCCTTACTGTGGCACCAACAAACATGTAACCACAGGTTATGATTTTAACAATTTAGTATCTATACTTTCTCAAGATGCTTCAATATTAAGTTTCAGTTTTTATGCCCCAGTGGTTTGTGAGAAAAAAAATTGTCCCATGTGTTTCAATATATAACTTGAATTTCTAATTATGGCCCTGTGCTACCCGAGGGATCATTTAGATTATACACTACCCTAGAATTCTTTCTACACCTCTCAATTTGTTCTTGAGAGGACGAATTTGTTAAAAAAAACTCAAATTTATTTATTCCAATGTAAAACTTGGATTCCCTATTGTGGCACAGCCTTTCACAAAGGGGCACAATTCCAGCAAATTTGAATCTTCACTACTCAAGGATGGTTGCTTGCATGACACTGTGGTTTAACCATCTGCTCCAAATAGTTGTAAAGAAGGGAGGCAATCCTCCTGCCATAAGTTCAAAGGGATGCCAAAGTTGAAATGTGGAGACCGGACTTTCGGATGAACTAGACTGTATAAATTGAGGTCAAATGTCACAGTAGGTGCTGATATGAAAAAGATCCCTCTTTGCTAAATGGACTTAAGTGTTGAGAATAGGACTAATATGTATAGCTTTCTGCCACCAGTGGCATTTACATATGAGTGAAAAATTCTCAATAGGGACGGTAAATAACATTCAATCTATCAACCCCAGGATGACTCAAAAAAAGTTTCAGTTTTTCTGACTCAATTTTTCTTGGGAAGATTTTAATAATTTCTCAATGTAAAATTTGGATTCACTTTTGTGGCCCCATCCTTCCCCCGGAGGTTACAATTTGGTTACAATTTGAAAAATTTAGAATCCACATTATTTACCTAATAAACAGTTTTTCTGGCTGGGTGGTTCTTCAGAAGAGGATTTTTTGTCTTGTCTTTTCTTGATTATATATCTCTGTTTGTAATGGGTCTTGACCCTTTATTTTAACAATTTACTTCCCTTTATCTATCTGCAGAACTGTATAACTCTCTGAAAAAAATATATTGACAGACAAGAGAGCTACAGTGCCACCCATTGAAAAAAATGTATATTTATTGCGCACAGAAATTTGTGCTTGGTTCTGCATTAATTTTACAAATTCCTACCTCACTTTGCAAAACAGCTGAATTTTAAGAAATTTTTTAACTTTCTTTCAAGTACTCTGAGACTCATAGTTGACATCTGTACAAAATGTGTTGGACCAAATTAACCTGCAAACAAAAATGGCAGTACACACGTACGGATAGAAGAAAGGATGTATTCACTATGACTAAAGAATTGAACAGGGAAGAGAGAACAATTTCCCAGAAAAAGTGACCTTTAAAAAATGTTTTCTACCGTATATATGTCTAAATTTTTCAAAGTTGTATTTCACACCTAAAAGAATATGGTTCACCTTGCCTTTCTTGGCCCTGTGAATTTCTGAAATGTGGAAATGTGGAGACTGAAACTGCTGAGTTTTAGTTAAGAATGCATTGAAAATCATTTAGATCTTTGGTGATTGCATATCTATAAAAAATCCGGTCTGTCAATATATTTTTTGGAGAGCTACAGTTCTGCAACTACCCTTTACCAAAAAAAGCTTTGCAGCTCAACATGTACTACCTGAGGATGCTTCCACATGAGTTTCATCTTTCTTGTCCTAGTGGTTCTTTAGAAGAATATTCTTTTAAGATGCCATTAATATTTCACTAATTCATAATTATCTCCCCTTGGAAAAAAGTGTGGCCTTTCATTTGCCAAATTTTTGGTGATAATTTTATTTGTTAAACTTAAGTTGCTCCGACTTGACCCTGAATGAGAAGTAGGATGATAAGTGGTGGCAGATTTGATACAACTAATTTTTTTTTAGATTCCTCTCCAAAGGTCTATCATGTCAGATACTTACCTGATCTGTAAGCCATTGTGTGCCTTGTAGAGATCTAATGTCACGGTCTGTTATATTTATTCCATACACACAGCTCAGTCTGAAATCTGTTGAATCTTTCTGCAACCAAATTTTTCGAACTTGTTTGGATTCTGAAATTTAAAAGAGGTCCTTGTGTTGTAATGACCATTTGATTTAACAATTAAGACAAATTGCAAAAATATTAAACAACACTGTAAATCTGGAAATTTTTATGTTGATTTTTTTTTGCAAATCTGGGACAAAGGGCTGTTGATTAATTTTTACATTTCTAACTTTTCAAATTAACGTATCGCCAAACTCTGCCCATCGCGCTATGGGTGATAAGTCCTATGATACTCCGACGTCATCAACATAGCGTGTAACTCGGTATAAGTCGACTTTGGTTCACTTGTCCGAAGTTCCTGATGACTTTGCTGCAAAATATTTGCCATACGAACCCATTTTGAGACAAAACAAGGGGCAAATGCTTTTATTAACAAAAGCTTTCATAAATTTCATTCACTTGAAATATTAAAAAAATGATTCCGTATTATCCCTTTTTCGGAAAGTTTATCAAAGCATGATAAAGTCCGAGTTCCTTCATACTGTAAACATCCATGTTGACGAAGACAGAAGCACACTGCGACTTTAATTCAATTTGTAATGTAATAATTTTATTAAATCAGCAATAGTATACAAAACCCATACGACATTGTCAAGACATGCTTTTACTTCCTATCCATAAGGGGACAATCATTTGATTTTGAGGGGGTTGTCTGGCTGATAAATGAGTTGAATCACTTTGGAAATAAATAATCTTTCCTCAACTGGAAGGCAAAAAATAATATGCCCACACCACCTCCACAATAATCTTGGGTTGAAGACGGTATGTCTCCCCCCCTCTTTTTTTAACTTGTTCAAGTAGACTTTTTCAGTGAAGCAGAGAATAAATAATCTGTCATTGGGAATAAATAATCCGTCCCTCACCGACATGACAATAAATAATCTGACTCTGTCTTGAAAAAAAATTGCAAGCCCCACTACCCTCTCCCCTTCCCTAATCAAATGGTCATTCTATAAATCTCTCGGGCTCCGATAATATCGACTCTGGAAAGATCTTTCTTCTTTACCTAGAAGTTCTGGTGGAAAATGTGCACACTTTTTAGCAATAATAGTTATTATTATTTTTCTTTATTTTTCCTACTATCTGATTGGCTCAAACTGGATCACATGATCAAGTATAAAAAGTGTTACGGACTGGATGTTTCTATTTTAAAAATTTATAGACCTGCTGTTTCTAAAATTAGAAACGTTCTCTGTGAAGCAACAATAGTGCTGACGTCACAATAGTCTTTATAGACTGGATGTTTCTAAAAACAGATACTGCAGCTGGTTTTCATAACTGTGACGTCATAATGCATTGACATAACAATGCCTTGTATGAGAAGGTAATGAGTATCATAAAGAAGGATTTTAAGACATGTCCTATTAACTGATAAAAAATAATAAAACAATTGTAGCCTTTTGTGCGGAAATTCCCAAAAAAATAAAGGAATCGGAATTTCCTGGTAATATGCAAATCTACATATTGTGTCCTATATATAAAGTTTGACCTGTGCAGCGGTTTATGAGGAGTTGCGAGAATATTCAAGCAAAAGTATCAACCTCGCACTTCGTGCTTTGGTTCTGTGCAGCGGTTTATGCTTTCTCTACAAACTGTTATATATTTCAGGGATTGACCTCATCAAAAGGCTATAATTGTATATTATTATTTTTCTGTATTGTTCCATCTATCTGATTGGCTCAAACTGGATCACATGATCAAGTATAAAAAGTGTTACAGACTCGTTTATGTTTCATCTTATATTCAAATTTATAAACTCCTAAATACCTGCTGTTTCTAAATTTTCATCTCTATATTCAAGGAAACGTTCTTCTGTGAAGCAACATATAGTGCTGACGTCACAATAGTCTTTATAGACTGGATGTTTCATCTCTATAAACAGATACTGCAGCTGGTTTTCATTACTGTGACGTCATAATGCAATGACATAACAATGCCTTGTATGAGAAGGTACTGAGTATTAGAAAGAAGGATTTTAAGATATTTCTTATTAACTGATAAAAAATAATAAAACAATTGTAGCCTTTTGTGTTAAATACGGTTTGACAAATTCTGTGCAGTGGTTTATATATAGACCTTAGAGAAAGCATATTGACCTCGCACTTCGTGCTCGGACGCTTAAGAAAGCATATTGCTTTGCATATGCTTTCTCTAGGTCTATATATCGAGGGATTGACCTCATCAAAAGGCTATAATTGTATATCAATATTTTGCCAAAACATGATGGTGTTCTTAATAAATTAAATAATGCTATAGTAATAGGTGGGGGGGGGGGGGGTAATTAAAAGTTAATTTTTAGCGATAAAATAGAATCATTTTTAATGGGTAGATTAAATCTAATTTAATTTTTTTTTTTTAAAGTATAAAAGCTTGTAAACTCAATCCTGTATATGCAATAATAACTGGTTATAAAAACTGGTAACTTTCAGTCACACTTTTAGTCAACACCGTGCAATAAAATTTGGTGAAATTAAACTAAAAAAGCATATACCGGTAGTTCTCTTTTAAAATGTGTATCAGTGTATGTATTTTGAAAATTGTTTTGAGGGTAAAACATGCAAGTACGTAGAAGTGTTATGGACTGATTAAGCATAATTATCTATCATATATAGAATGATATATATACTATTATTCATATTATTTTTATATTTTTAACGCAAAGACAGTCTGTCAAATGAATCTCTATACCGTGTACAGTGGACCCTCATTTATCCGGACACTTTGGTTCCCAGTCAATTTGTCCGGATATGTGAAGCATCCGGATATCTGAATCACCAGTTAAACAAGACAAAATAACATTTAAAAAATTCGTTCCGATGAAAAATCGTCCGGATACTGAAGCATCCGGATATCTGGCATCCGGATATCTGAGGGTTCACTGTATATGGATTTATACCGGTTTTTTTTTTCTTGTGTATTAAACTAAGAAGGTATACATGTATAACATAACAAACAAGGAAACGAGTTTTATTTTATTTCCTGGCCAATATATTTAGAAGTCCCAAAACGTGTAAACCCAACTCTGGAAATGTATTGTCAGGTCACAAAATGTCGGCGTCCCAAAGCATGGCGGTCCCAAAACATCCATTAAATTCCCTTTCGGGATACCTGTCATCAGTATTGCACGTTACCCAACGGCATATATTTTACCATCATAGACTTATTTGTTCGATTTGTATATTGGCGACCACTCAACCCACTGAGTTTGTTTGTGGGAGCATATGGCGGAGCAAGTTTTAACTGAAAGCGGAGAATAAACGAACTTATTTCATTGGTTGAAAATTTGTTGGGATTGACAGCTGGCAGTACGTTAATTGTGACTGGCTCTAATATTAAACAAGAGGCCCATTGGCCACATTGCTCACCTGAGCACTGTGGGTAGGAAAAAGTAAAAATTGGTTTATTATTGAAAGTTTGAAACCAAAAGCAAACCCATGACCAGTTATGGTTTTGCTATTCTTGAGAAGATGATTTTTAAGGAATATTCCTAATTATTTCCATGTTAAACATTGGTCTGCCATTGTGGCCCCGCCCCAACCCCGGGGTCATGATTTAAACAAATTTGAATCGGATGCTTCCATATAAATATGATCAATCATGGCTTTAATATTCTTGAGATCAAGACTTTTAAAGAATTTTCCTATAAATATTTTTATGTAAAATTTTGGTTGGCTATTGAGGCCATTGCCCTATCCCCGGGGGTCACGATTTGAACAAACTTGAATCTACACTACCTGAGGATGCTTCAATATAAATATGATCGATAATGGCTTTCTTATTCTGGAGAAGATTGATTGATTGATTGCATATTGTTTTACGTCCCTCTTGAGAATTTTTCACTCATATGGAGACGTCACCGTATGCCGGTGAAGGGCGTTAAATTTAGACCTTTACTGGGCACTCAGGGCCATTGAGCAGTGAGGGTTTTTTATCGTGCCAGCGCCTACCGTGACACAGGACCTACATTTTTAAGGTCATATCCGAAAGACCCGTGACTTTCACTTCTAGTGCCGGGCGCTTGGCGAAGGAACAGTCACTACCTTTGTTTACGTCTTAGGTATGACGCAGCGCCGCGAACGAGAATCGAACCCGGGCCTCTTGATCATGAAGCGAACGCTCTACCACTAGGCTACAGTGACCGGTTATTCTTGAGATGTGATCAGAAAAGCTCACTTGAGCCTTCGGCTAAGGTGAGCTTAAAGCGCCTTTATGTTCATAACATCCCATTAGTTATGTATCTTAAAACAATAACATATTCAATCAAGTTCTGAAAAGCAAAATAAATGCACAAGTGGTCCAACTACCACAAAAAAGGGGTGTTTGTGATTTTCATCAACTTAAATCTACACATCTAACTTAGAAATTGCTTGTGAACATATTTCCTTGACTTACAGGTTTTTTTTTTTAAATGCAAGTTTAGTCATAAAATTGAGACCTGAACAAAAAACATTAATATGTTCAGTCATCCAAAAAATGTAGGTCAAATTTAGCATTTGAAGCAAGTGCCTGAGATTTTATGAGGAATGGCTTCAAAATGGCTACCCAAGTAAACTAAAACTTATAAGAACTGTCCAAAAGGCCCCCACTGTTTTTTTTTCAGAGAAGGTTTCAATTCACAAATATTTTATGGATCTACGAGGGTTGTCCGTAAAGTTCGTGGACAGGCTAAGAATTAAATGAATGTTGCGTCATTGATATTTATTTTTAGCATATTTCTAATTCTTTACTAAATGTGAACTGAGAAATATAAAATCGGATTCAATTTCAAATGTTTAATTACAATTATGACTTCATAATCAGACTTGGTATTGAGACCCGGAGCACCGCAAAATTTCAATAAAAAAATTATTTATCACGTTATAAATTTCATTTCCATTTTATGAAATTCTGCAGAAATCTGGATGACTTTTACATTATGAGGTTGACAGAAGTTATCACTTCAAACCTGCAAAATTTTAAAATTCAAAGTTGTAAAATGGCTGAACAATCAAAGTTAGATTATATTAAGACGGATCGGAATTGTTAAAAAAAGGGACGTTTTCGGAAAAGGTGGAGCAGTGAGCATTGATAAAATTCTGCGTAAACATCGGATAAAACAACTACAAAGACCAATGCATTCTATAAACAATCGAGAAAACATAGTAAAAGAAGCCATACATTATTATATAAGTGGCATATAATATTTTCGGACGGAAAGAATTTACAGGATGATATGCGTGAAGAAAAACCATAATTCCGAGATTGCAGCGCTGTAGAAAATAAACGTTGTAACGTGACTTTCTGTATTTCAGTAAATAAAGTAGTTTTTACGAGGACAGAGGTCGAATGCTTGCAGGATCTGAGACAGGGATTGTTAAATATTATTTTATCTTGAACATTTTGTGCACATATTTATGACTGATTAAAGCAACATAAGAAATTTATTGAGTTAAACGGTGACTAAATAAAGAAAAGTAACATGTACTCGTATTATGCTTTTGACGTCGGGTGACGTCACAAATTTTAATTTTATTGCTCCGGGTATGAGTGTGTGTCAATTTAAATTTGATAAAAATACAACTATTTGTGCTCTTTTATTGTTGAAAACTTGCAAATTAATAAAACGGAACATGAATTTAATGAAAATAATAGTTTCATATATTTTATCAATGTTTGTAAGTAATTATCAATGTTGTCCACGAACTTTCCGGACAACCCTCGTATTAAAGGTGTTCACAATTTTCTTTAAAAAATTTTGTGGGAAAATATAATTGCTCATTATACATGTTAAATATATTTTTTTAAACATATAAATGAAACTAAGGTGCAACCAAATAAAACATTTAATACTAACTTGACTAAAACATAATGATTGTAACCGTTATTTTATTTTAATTGAAACAAAAATAAATTTGCATTTTGCAACTAATTGTCATGATACTCTGCAAATTGAATATTGAAATTAATTTTGATTTGATAAAACTTTTCTAGAAAAGTGACAGATTTTTTTAATAAAAACTGTAGGGCAACAAATAGAGTAAAAAAGCACTAGACTTCCACCTAAAGCGGTATAGCTAATATGTATGATAAATGGAACATTAAAAAAAATTCATTAATTATAATTTGCTTTACCTTCAGTTTCTTCAGTTGAATAACTTGTTGGAAATGTTCCTGGTTCCCCACACTCAGTACCCAGAGGAGCTTCTTCTGTCCTTGCCTTCCCATTCTTTGTTAATGGTTCTATAAAATAAGAAAGTAAATTTCGTCTCACTTAAAATTTTTTAACAAGAGGCCCCTGGGCCACATCGCTCACCTGAGCAATGTGGCTAGGAAAAAGGAAGAAATCAGTTTATTATTGAAAAGTTTAAACCTAGTAGTGGTCCAAACCAATCCTTAAAAAACTTTTCTAGAAAAGAGACAGATCTTTTAACAAGAGACCCATGGGCCAAATCATTCACCAAAGCAATGTGGCTAGAAAAAAAGCAGAAATCAGTTTATTATCGAAAAGTTTAATCCTAGTAGTTGTCCAAACCAATCCTTAAAGGGGAGAAGGTGTGATTTGAACAAACTTGAATCTACACTTATTAATAAGGATGCCTGCATATTTCTTTGACAACCTGTGGCTTTATTGCCCTTTACATTTGAACTTACATTGTGGCTCCATCCTACCCCCAGGGGTCATGACTTGAACAAAATTGAATCTACATTACATGAAAATGCTTCCATATGAATAGGACTTATCATTGAAAAGAAGATTTAAAGAAAAATTCTAAACATGTTTCAATGTAAAACTTGGATTCCATGTCAGGGCCCTGCCATACCCCCAGGGATCATGATTTAAAACAAAATTGAATGTCCACTAACTGAAGATGCTTCCATAGAAATATGATCATTCATGCCCTTGCTATTCTTGAGAAGAAGATTTTTAAAGAATTTTCCTATATATTTATATGTTAAACTTTGATCGCCCATTGTGACCCCGCCCTACTCCCGGGGTCGTGATTTGAACAAACTTGAATCTACACTACCTGAGGATGCTTCTTTATAAGTTTCAGCTTTCCTGGCACAGTGGTTTTTGAGTGGTTTATTCTTTGTTAATGGTTCTGTAAAGTAAGGAAAAAAAATTTGTCTCACTTTAAATTTTTCTAGAAAAGTGACAGATTTTTTAACAAGAGGCCCATGGGCCTTGAATCACTCTTCTGATAAATTGTACAGTCTATCACTTCTACTTGAAGCCTCTAACTCTAAGTATCCTAAGATGCATGAACTGACAAAGTTTGATGATTCTTTGCCAGTTAGGACTGAAGATATTTCTGAAATCAATATAGCTATAAAATACCATAAATGGGTCATGGTGATCTCCTTTTGACTTGAAACTTTCTGAGGACTCAAGATGCATTCATTGACTGATGGTTCTAAGCCAATATGTACCTCTTATATTCAAAAGTGGGTCCCTGTGACCTTCTTATGGTTGACATTCTCCGAAAACCCAAGTTGCATCAACTATCAGAGTTTGATGATTGTAAGCCAATAAGTTCCTAATATACATAAATTAAATATAGTCATAAAATGTCAAAACTAGATCACAGCAACCTACTATTTGGTCAACATGTTTCGAAAACCCAAGTTGCATCAACTGACAAAGTTTGATGATTCTAAGCCAATAGGTACCTGAGATAATACAAAGTAGGTTATTTTGACCTACTTTTTGGTCAACATTCTCTGAAAATCCAACATGCCTCAACTGACAAAATTTGATGATTCTAACCAAAACCAGAAGTCTCTGTCGAGACTGTAGCTCTACTGGTACATGTATGTACTTATCAAAAACCATTGCACTATACTATGTATCTTTGTGTAGTCTACTTGTGTGCCAAGTTATATTGAAATCAGATCAAAATTGTAGGAGGAGTAGCGTTTTAAAGGAATTTCACAGAAAATTCTATTTTTAGTAACCATGGCAACACCGTCCATCGTAATCAAAAACCAATGCACTATTTTATGTATCTTAGTGTAGTCTACTTGTGTGCCAAGTTATATTGATCGAAATCAGATCAAAATTGTAGGAGGAGTAGCGTTTTAAAGGAATTTCACAGAAAATTCTATCTTTAGTAACCATGGTAACACCGTTCATTGAAATCAGAAACCGATGCATTATTCTATGTATCTTTGTGTAGTCTACTTGTGTGCCAAGTTATACTAAAATCAGACCAAAACTGTAGAAGGAGTAGCGTTTTAATAGAATTTCACAGAAAATTCTATTTTTAGTAACCATGGCAACACCATTCAACAAAATCAAAAACCGATGCACTATTCTATGTATCTTAGTGTAGTCTACTTGTGTGCCAAGTTATATTGAAATCAGACCAAAACTGTAGAATAAGTAGCGTTTTTAAGGAATTTCACAGAAAATTCTATCTTTAGTAACCATTGCAACATCGTTCATCAAAATCAAAAACCAATGCACTATTCTATGTATCTTTGTGTAGTCTACTTGTGTGCCAAGTTATTTTGAAATCAAACTAGAAGTGTAAAAGAAGTAGCGTTTTTAAAGAATTTCACAGAAAATTCTATTTATAGTAACCATGGTAACACCGTTCATGGAAATTAAAAACTGATGCACTATTCTATGTATCTTAGTGTAGCCTACTTGTGTGCCAAGTTATATTGAAATCAGACAAAAACTGTAGAAGGAGTAGCGTTTTAAAGTAGTTTCACAGAAAATTCTATTTTTAGTAACCATGGCAACACCGTTCATCGAAATCAAAAACCGATGCACTATTCTATGTATCTAAGTGTAGTCTACTTGTGTGTCAAAGTATATTGAAATTAGACCAAAACTGTGGAAGGAGTAGCGTTTTAAAGAAATTTCACAGAAAATTCTATTTTTAGTAACCATGGCAAGATCGTTCATTGAAATCAAAAACCCATGCACTTTTCTATGTATCTTAGTGTAGTCTACTTGTGTGCCAAGTTATATTGAAATCAGACTAAAATTGTAGGAGGAGTAGCGTTTTGAAAAATTGTTTACAAACAGACGGACAGACAGACAGACAGACAGACAGACGGACGGACGCCAGACGCATTACTATCGCATAAGCTCTTCTGGTCTCTGACCAGTAGAGCTAAAAATACCTCAGATACTTAAATATAACCATAAAATTCAAAACTAAGTCACAGTGACCTACTTTTTGGTCGACATGTTTGAAAAACCAAATGCATCAACTGACAAAATTTAATGATTCTAAGCCAAAAAGTACTTAAAAATTGAAATATAGGCATAAAATGTCAAAACTAGGTCACCACTTTTTGGTCGACATTTTCCATAAAACTTAAGTTGTATCAACTGAGAAAGTTTGATGATTCTAAGCCAAAAAGTACATGAGATACTGAAATACTGTGACTTGATCATCTTGGATATTTTACGTACATGTATTATAACATGGATAATTGAACGTGACATTAATGTATGTTGCATGAGTTTCTAGATATTTTAGGTCTGTTTTGTCAGTTATTTTTTTAGAAATCATTGATATTTCTCAAATCCTGAGAATCATTTATTACGGCCACAGGTTTGCACTTTTCCAGCATATTGTATGTAGGGATTATATGTACACTGTATGCAACATCTGTAGATTAATTGCAGATTCCACAATAAACGCCATGCTATTCATATTTAAGAAATAAAGTCCGTGTTTCGTGAATGTTGCAGAATAACCTCCGAGGTCGAGAAATGTTGTTTGAAATATAAAAGCCAAGGCGTTAGCCAAGGCTTTTATATTTCAAACAACATTTCGAGACCGAGGAGCTTATTCTGCATCATTCACGACAACAAGGACTTTATTTCTATTCTACCGAGGGCGATAAATACGGCCGATTGTTTCCTCTATAGAGAAACGAATTAGGTCACCATGTCTCGATTACGCTGTTCTATTTAACACCAGAGAGAAATTTTGTTGACTTACCTATATCTGGAATGGAGATGATTTGAGCTTTCGTTGCATTAAAAATAGTCTTGATTAATTACAAATTTGTTATGAATATGTATTGATAAGTTAAAATGAATATGCATAAACAAAATTATGTTCTTGTTTTACTGCTAAAATCACGTTGTTTAATGTGTAGGGAGGTCCGTGGACTAGCCCCGCTTATGCCTAGTTTTCATTTCCCGGCCAGTAACCGTAGACCGGTGGTAATCAGTGGTAATCCGTGCTGTTCACGATGCACCAACATCGGTACACATCGGCCAAGTAGTCCTAAAAGTATCAGTCACATTATCCAGCGATGTGCATACGATGGGCAACCAATGCATTTTATGAGAAAAATAGAGTGGTTGCCGGCCAGACTTACAAAGGCCCAGCGATGCATTGCTAATCATAAAGCGATGTTCCAGGATAATCGGCCGATGTTAATTACATCGCTCATACATTGGTGAACATCGTTCGTACATCGGTCGACTACGGACCAGTGTTTAGTCGAACATCAGACGATGATCGGTTGTAATCCGTTGAACACCACTAAACTCCCTGATGACCTCAGATTCAACTAATATTGGACGATGCTCGGCTATACATCGGCCGAATCTTGAAAAGTGTGTTAATGATGGGTTGCCGATGAGGAGCGATGTGAGGCATCGTTGGAGACATCGCTTTATTTTAATTACGATTATTTCCTACCGATGACCCAACCGATTTGCAAAATGGCCTCAGACACCGTCCGATCATTAGTGGTGCCCGGCCGGCAACCACGCCATTTTCATCAAAAAACGCATCGGTTTCTCATTGTTTACCCCATCGCTGGATAATGTGACTTTAGCTATAAAAACCGACATTCATCAGCAACTTGATGCAACTTACAGTGTTTACTGTGGTTTCATCAATATTCATTATGCACCAATTTTCGTGGATTTCGTTGTTGATCAGATCCACAAATCTAAATGTTCATCGAATTACAAAATATGACATTCATTTGTATAGGAAATGCTGTTGTCCACGAAATTACGTATCCTTTAAACTGTCTGTTTTATATAATCCACGAAAACTGATACCAACGAAAATTGATGAAACCACAGTATACTGCAAAAGACGACACATCGATGCGGTCTAAACAAGTATTTCATTCTACAGCCAAACATGCATTTGAATTGTTCAGATTTGATACATGTTTCTGATCTGATAATTTTTTGATGACGTTCGCGATTTATTTAAGAAATAAAGTCTGCATTTTCGTGAATGTTGCAGAATAACCTTCGAGGTCAAGAAATGTTGTTTGAAAGATAAAAGCCGAGGCGATAGCTGAGGCTTTTATGTTTCAAACAACATTTCGAGACCAAGGAGGTTATTCTGCATCATTCACGACAACAAGGACATTATTTCTATTCTAACAAGACCAATAAATACTGCTGATCGTTTCCTCTATAGAGAAACGAATTAGGTCACCATGTCTCGTTTACGCTGTTTTATTTAACACCAGAGGTACAATTTGTTTGCTTACCTTTGTTAGGAATGCAGACGATCTGAGCTTTCGTTACATTGAAAATAGCCTTTTTTAAATTACAAATGTGTTCGTTATATGTATTGATCAGTTAAAGCGAATATACAATAACAAAATCATGTTCCTGTTTTACAGCTAAAGTCATGTTGTTTATCAGCAACTTTATGAAATTTACAGTGTTTATTTCGTATATAGATGACATATCGATGCTGTCTAAACAAGTTTTTCATTCTACAGCCAAACATGCATTTGAATTTTTTTAATTTGATGCATGTTTCTGATCTGATAATTTTTTGATGACGTTCATGATCTATTGGAGAATAATGTCTGGCGACTTCCTTTCATGTTTTGAATAATCGTGGTAGAATGGAGAATAATGTCTGGCGGCTTCCTTTGAAGATTTCAATAACCGTGGTAGAATATAAGATAAATTATTCTCTCAAACTGTTAGCTGATATTAAGAGAATCACAAAATTACAATGAAAAGTTACTTCGTTTTTTTCCTAGGCCGTCTTGACGACGCACCATTTTTGTTTACGAAGATAGATGTTCCGAGAATTGCCGATGTCAAACACCTCTGAATTTTAACTGGAAGTGGCCTATTACACATCTAAATCCTTAATTTGTTTGGCATTATAATAAATGCTCATTTACAAAAAACATTTTGTTTTGATGTTTGCAAAAAACAGAGCAGAGTAGACTCATTCACTGAGAAAATAAATTATTTGAGGAAGGTGGAAGACGATGGTATATAACTCTGCTATATGAATGAATTTTGAGTAGGGAATGTACAAATTTCAATGGGCTGGGTTAAAATGACCGGTATACATGCCCAAAGGGCATGTGCTGAAAAAGAATTGTTTTTTGGCTTTCAGTACAAAGAATTGGCTTTCAGTACTTCTGAGTATTTTGATTAATATCTTAAGTTTTGAATAATCGTGGTAGAATGGAGAATAATGTCTGGCGGATTCCTTTGAAGATTTCAATAACCGTGGTAGAATATAAGATAAATTATTCTCTCAAACTGTTAGCTGATATTAAGAGAATCACAAAATTACAATGAAAAGTTACTTCGTTTTTTTTTTCAAAATCGGTGCTATTTTTAGAAGTTGGAAAAACCCTTGTAGTGTGTATATGGAGATAACATCGTTTTAACTGCATATTTTGCCAAAACAAAGTAAAGTAATGTGTTTTCTATTTAATATCATATTAATTCTTTCCTTTGATTAGTTATAATCCGGTGCTTTGGTGTATGTTTTATGATAGCGTCCTAGGCCGTCTTGACGACGCACCATTTTTGTTTACGAAGATGGATGTTCCGAGAATTGCCGATGTCAAACACCTCTGAATTTTAACTGGAAGTGGCCTATTATACACATCTAAATCCTTAATTTGTTTGGCATTACAATAAATGCTCATGCATTTACAAAAAACATTTTGTTTTGATGTTTGCAAAAAACAGAGCAGAGTAGACTCATTCACTGAGAAAATAAATTATTTGAGGAAGGTGGAAGACGATGGTATATAACTCTGCTATATGAATGAATTTTGAGTAGGGAATGTACAAATTTCAATGGGCTGGGTTAAAATGACCGGTATACATGCCCAAAGTGCATGTGCTGAAAAAGAATTGTTTTTTGGCTTTCAGTACAAAGAATTGGCTTTCAGTACTTCTGAGTATTTTGATTAATATCTTAAGTTTTGCTTTATGCATTTGCTTAAAATTTGCAATTCTCTGTGACACTTAAATTTAAATTAAATATATTAAGTTTTGTCTCATTTTCAAAATTATTTCAAAAGTTGATATACTGGATTTCAATTTTGACTAATAATGATGTATATCCAAATAATTGGTCACTTCTCTGTTAAATTTTACCTCATCCAGCATCCAAAGCTAGTAAAGTTGTGTTTTTTTTGGTTGATGCATCATACATGCAATTTTATATTGACCAGACCTCTTTTCTGCATTTTCTTTATTATCTCCTTTTGGATGAAAGTATGATTTTTCTTTTTAACAAATTGAAATCCCCTTTAACTAGGGATGCTTTCTACTGTACTACCATATTTGGCTGAATATATAATACACACCGGTGTAAAAAATGCAACCTTTTTTTGGCTTGTATATTTGGAGAAAAAATGGAGCTGTTTTTTTTATGACCAAGCTTAATTTTGTCTTTTTTACACCTTGGTAATTTTAATTCAAAATCTTTTGGAATGAATGGAAAATTTTAGCACAGTAAGTTTTCATGCATGGGCTTTGTTGTTTTTTTAAGCTTTCGCTTCTCCTCAGTTTTACATTGCATATAACTGTAAAACAAAAAAATATCGCGCACTACTAATTTTAGTGCCTTTGGCGCACTCCTAATTTTAGTGCCTTTGGCGTACTACTAATTTTAGTGCCTTTGGCGCAAGAATCCTTGAGTACTAAAATTTATTGACCACTAACAGACTTCAAGGGATCGACACTAACTCTAAGACCATAGTTGTCAGCAGGGCTAGCCAGTTCTAGTTTCTACTAGCCCTGTTCATGTATTAGTTGTCCAACAGCCGAAGGCTGATGGCCGGGTCGCTAAGCGACGAGGGGGGTAGGTGTGGGAGGGGGCTTCCCCTTCCAGCTGGTGGGGGTACGGGAGGTCTCCCCTGGGAAATTTTGAAACAGAGATGCCAAATCCTACATTCTGTTGGTATTTTAGGTAAAAAGTTTGTGTCACTCTATGATTGTATCGAAGACATTTTTCTATTTAAAAAAAGTCAACATTCATTATCATTTATGGTGTTTCAAATCACCTTTAAAATTTTCATTTTGACTTGCAAAAATAATAATTATGTTGATAAAAAATGTTTGAAAATAGATTGAACAATTATCAGGTACATTGTGTGTAATTGATAATTATTTCAGTTGCTCTGAGTGAGTATTTGGTCAAAATCTTAGTAGCCCTGCAGGGCAAGTTTAAAGGCATGTTTGGAAGCCCGACCTCAATATTCAGTACTCCCTGGCTAGTGGACTACCGTTAGTGTTGAACCCTGACTTCTTAAATACTGTAAATGTATTATATTTAGCATGTATGATATTTGGCAGAATTGACTTTTGAAAAATGTTAGCGTGGATTTGATTAAATGCATTTCTTCTTATTATTCCTTTCAATGTGTTTATGTGCATGATGTTTAGCTATGTATTTGATTTAGCGGTTGCTGCAATCTCCCAAAACCAGTAAAAAGAATACACAGCCAAATGTAATACGTTTACAGTAAATTGAACTTGTTAGTGTTCAAAGCAATCACTGAAGTACATGCAAACCAGAATGTGCAATTACGTATTGCTGTGGAGTTACTGTATTTGTGTATACCTGCTCCCACTGGTTAATTACAGGATTGATCTACACTACAGTCAACGTATGTTCCGTATTTACCGCGAGTCCTCGCAGTGTAAAATCACAGTTTAAAACAGGTAACTCGTAAAACGGTGTTATCTGGCGGTATGGGTTCTCACCTTATCCACACCATCATGGTTTGTGATATCAGTCTCAGGTAAATAAAAGTTATCGTAGCGAACGAGGGTTACCTCCCCCCCCCCTCCCAACATATAGTAAAATGCATGCCATATATTTAAGTGTCATTTAATAGGTTTAAAAAAAAATGGTTAAAAGAATACTGAGAGAAGTTGAGAGTTTCTTACCTGGAATTCCTCCAAGTCCTCTCTCCCCCTCTTCACCTTTCTTTCCATTCAACCCTGGGAAGCCATCTGATCCAGGCAAGCCATTTTGTTCTACAATTCAAATTACATCTCATTTTATCACAGAATAAAAAAACAGGTCTAAGGGCCACAGTGCTCACCTGAGCACATCGGCTCGGAAAAAGCACTTATCAGAACTGAAAGTTAACTGAGGTTAGCAGGGGGGGAGGGCTTGAATTTTAACCTCCCAAAATAGAATCTACACTACCTGAGGATGATTCAAATAAATATCACTAATCATGGCTTTAAAGTGCTTGAAAAAAAGATTTTAAACTTAAGGTTTCCCTATCTATATATTCCTGTGTAAAACTTTGGTTGGCCATTTTGGCCCCATCCTACCCCTGGGGGTCATAATATCAACAAACTAAAATCTACACTACCTGAGGATGATTCCACATGAGTTTCATCTTTTCTGTTGCAATGGTTCTAGAGAAGAAGATTTTTAAAAGATTTTTCCTATATATTCCTGTGTAAAACTTAGGTCGCCCATTTTGGCCCCACCCTAGACCCAGGGGTCATGATTTGAACAAATTGGAAACTACACTACCTGAGGATAATTGTCCCCCGCTTTTGCAAAAGCAAGGGGACATTAAATCTCATTCGTCTGTCTGTCTGTCCATCAGTCTGTCAGTCAGTCAGTCTGTCTGTCACAAAAACTTTAACCTTTCCATAACTTTACATTTAGTGAAGATATGACTTTCATATTTCACATGTTTATTCCTTGTGACAAGACCTTTCTTTGGGTACCACGAAATTTGACCTTTGGACCTTGACTTTGGAGTTTGACATACTTTTACACAAAAATTCCAAACTTTTACTTTGGCCATAACTTTTGAATAGAAGGTACTAGGACTTTCATATTTCACATATTTATTGTTCGTGGCAACTCCTTTCATTGGATAACAACAACCTTGACCTTTTGACCTTGACCTTGGAGATTTACGTACTTATGAAAAAACGTTAACCTTGACCATAACTTATGAACGGTAAGAACTAAGGCTTCCGTACTTCACATATGTAATCCTTGTGAGAAGAGCTTTGATTGGATACCGACAACATTTACCCTGAGACCTTGACCTTGGAGTTTTAACTACTTTTTAAAAACTTTAACCTTGGTCACAACTTTTAAACAGTGGATACGAGGACTTTTATATTTCACATATATATTCCTTGTAGCAAGACATTTCATTGGATATCAACAACCTTGACCTTTTGACCTTGGAGAATTACCTTCTTATGAAAACTTTAACCTTGACCATAAATTTTGAACAGTGAGGGCTAGGGCTTTCGTACTTCACAAAAAATCAACTTCAGTGTTACTTTCTAAATAAATGACATATGATAAGATGTTCATATTACACACAATATGTTAGGTCATAATAAATAAATTGCTAGATTCTCATCCAAATATTTTTAAAAATGGAGGCGGGCGGGCGGCTTTTATTTTATATTTTTTATTTTTTCAATTTTGCAGATTTTTTATTGACCTTGTCAACCGGTGTAATTTTATCTACAATACCCGAATAAAAGTCATAGTAAAGGTTCAATTATCGCTTTCTTCACATTATCACCAATCTTTTTCAACCAATGACCCTTGTTTACAATATATACGCATGTATAACAGCAATCACCACCCTTTCAGCTGTCAAAAATCTTGACGACTTTCGGGGAGGTTTAAAACAAATGATGAATGGTAGATGAATACCGATCCAGATCAGAATTAAACCGTAGAAGAACAAAAATAAAAAAATCAAGGCGGGGGTTTAAAATCGGGGTGGGCAGGGATAAGAATCGAGGAATATTTTTATTATGGCCTTATAAAAAACCAGAAGTCTCTGTCGAGACTGTAGCTCTACTGGTTTGTACTTATCAAAATCCATTGCACTATTTTATGTATCTTTGTGTAGTCTACTTGTGTGCCATCTTATTTTGAAATAAGACCAAAACTGTAGAAGGAGTAGTGTTTTAAAAAAATTTCACAGAGAATTTTATTAATAAATAACCATGGCAACACCGTTCATCGAAATCAAAAACTGATGCACTATTCTATGTATCATAGTGTAGTCTAGTTGTGTACCAAGTTATACTGAAATCAGACAAAAACTGTAGAAGGAGTAGCGTTTTTTAAAGAATTTTACAGAAAATTATATTTTTAGTAACCATGGCAACACCGTTCATCAAAATCAAAAACCGATGCACTATTCTATGTATCTTAGTGTAGTCTACTTGTGTGCCAAGTGATATTGAAATCATACAAAAAATGTAGAAGGAGTAGCGTTTTTAAAGAATTTCACAGAAAATTCTATTTTTAGTAACCATGGAAACTCCGTGCATCAAAATTAAAAACCAATGCACTATTCTATGTATCTTAGTGTAGTCTACTTGTGTGCCAAGTTATATTGAAATCAGACCAAAACTGTAGAAGGAGTAGTGTTTTAAAGGAATTTCACAGAAAATTCTATTTTTAGTAACCATGGCAACACCGTTCATTGAAATCAAAAACCGATGCACTATTCTATGTATCTTAGTGTAGTCTACTTGTGTGCCAAGTTATATTGAAATCAGACAAAAACTGTAGAAGGAGTAGCGTTTTTAAAGAATTTCACAGAAAATTCTATTTTTAGTAACCATGGCAACACCGTTCATCGAAATCAAAAACCGATGCACTATTCTATGTATCTTAGTATAGTCTACTTGTGTGTCAAGTTATACTGAAATCAAACTAAAATTGTAGGAGGAGTAGCGTTTTGTAAAATTGTTTACAGACAGACGGACAGACAGATGGATGGACGCCGGACGCATTACTATCGCATTAGCTCTTCTGGTCTCTGACCAGTAGAGCTAATAACATCTCACCCACAAAGACACCGAAAGCTAGGACCCCAATTCTTTGAATTTGCTTGTTTTAGATGAGTTTCATCTTTCCTGTCTCAATGGTTCTTGAGAGTAGAGAATAAGACTTTTCAAGATTTTTTCCTTTATACTCCGATGTAAATCTTTGGTCAGCCATTTTGGCCCCACCCTAGCCCTGGGGTCATGATTTGAACAAAATTGAATCTACACTACCAGAGGATGATTCAAAATGAGTTTCATCTTTCCTGGCCAAGTGGTAAGAGAAGATTTTTTAAAGGTTTTTCCTATATACTCCTAATATGTAAAACTTGCGTCAGCCATTTTGGCCCCACCCTAGCCCCAGGGGGTCATGATTTGAACAAAATTGAATCTACACTACCTGAAATTGATCAAAAATGTCATTAATTTTTCTCTAATTCATAATTATCTTCCCTTGGAAAAGGGCGTGGCCATTCATTTGAACAAACTTGAATCCCCTTTACCCAAGGATACTTTGTACCAAGTTTGGTTTAAATTGGCCCAGTGTTACTTGAGAAGTAGATGAAAATGTGAAAAGTTAATGGTAACGACAATGATGACTAAAGCTAACCTCAGGTGAGCTAAAAATCAAATCCCATTTATTAAGCTATATTACTACAGAACATTTAAGACTAGTCAAAATACACTAAATCATAAATTGCCCTCGAGCATGCAGAATTTCTAAATAATTTTGTGTACATGTATTTCCTACATTACATCTTGCAAAAATCTAAAAGGTGATGCTTTAAGCAGAATATGTAGCATCTGCTTCAATTCAACCAGATTGTATGAAGTTTATAAACCATTCAGATTTTTACACTGTCTGAGGAGATCATAACATCCTAGCTTAGATCAATTACATGGGATATCTCTGTTTCTGTAAACTGTTTAATACCACTGCCACATTGATCCTTACATTATAACATCCTAGCTTAGACCTCCCTGTTTTTGTAACTCCTTTAAAACCACTATATTTACCTTGTTCTCCTGGAATGGACACCCCTATCTCTCCCTGTTCACCCTTCAGACCAGGGAACCCACTCTGTCCAGGCCTTCCCACCGTCCCATCTTCACCTTAATTAACAAGATGTGTTTGTGAAACACTATGCACCCGTCATCAACAAAGTTTGAAAAAGCTATTTTTAGTATATAGGTCACAGTCAAGGTCACAAGGTTATTGACCTTGGTGTTGTTTGAAAGAACTTTATTGGTGGAGGATGCATATATATAATATGAAGTCCCTATCTCCTATGGTTAAAAAATAATGGTTTTAACATATTTAAAAGGAAAATATATACCGCTATTTTTAGCATATATATAAATTATTTTTAATTGGTCACAGTCAAGGTATATAAGTTGTTTTTTTTTTCACAAGGTCATTGACCTTGATGTCATTTGAAAGAACTTTATTTGTGGAGTATGCATACCAAATATGAAGTCTCTATGTCTTATGGTTCAAAAGTTTTGGCGAAGGTTAAAGATGACAACAGACAGACAAACAGATAAACAGACAAGACAAAAACAATAATTATTTTACAGTCCTGAAATGTTCTACTTTCCCATCTGAACGGTGAACAAACGCTGAACGAACGGTAAATGAATGCAAAGCGAACGGTGAGTGAACGAAATGCAAACACTGAACACAACTTGGTGAACTATGTGTGAACGGTGAGTGAACGCAAAACATGAACGGGAATTATATTAAATGGCAAACATATATTTAGGTACGGTGGATGAAGGATATTTTACCTCTCTTATATTAGACTTTTCTTAGTAACAGCTAAGTTATTATTATAGAAATATAAATATCATAGATAATTTTTGCAATGAAATACATGTAATTATTTTTAAAACACGATATTTTAGTTATTTAATTAAAAAAAAGTGTAAATCATTACCATCAAAAAAATAAGTCCTTTCACATCAGAGTTCCGAATGACAATAAAGACTGAGCGATAAGTGAACGGTGTATGCAAAGAAAACGGAACGAAGAGCGAACGCTGAACATTTTTTGAACGGTGAACACAATCGCACGGTAAATGGGGAACGCAATTCTGTGAATGGAGAGCAAACGGTGGATGCACGGTGAATGAATGGTGAGCAAACAGAACAAGAGGCCCACGGGCCTTATAGGTCACCTGAGTGTTTGTAACAACTTTCAAACACTTGAATTTGGATTCAACCAGAGCCATGAAATTCACAATTCACAATTTTGAAAGAGGCACCATTGCTTATCATAATTATTAACTTAACATGATTACTCTATTTACTTAATACCCAGAGGTAGATCAGAGTAACAAAGAGAAAATCCACTTCCACTTTATACCAAGTTGTGCACCTCACCCTAAAGAAACCACTGACCCAGGGGCCACATATTTCAAAATTTTGCAAATTTCAAAACAAAATGGTGATTAATACCATAGAGCAGATTAAAAAAAATTAATTTATTTTCAGACTATCTAGCCCCCCCCCCCCCTCCTCCTGACCCAGGGGGCATAAAATTCACAAATGTTATAGGAGGCACTCTTGCTCATCATAACTATGTGCTTAGTTAGTTTTTTAATACCCAAAAGCAGAGAAGAAGATTTTCAAAGAATAAATGCATTTTCACTGTATGATCAATAGAGCCCCCCTACCCCCACACACAAGAACCCTTAACCCTGGGGCCATAAAATTCACAAATCTGGAAGTGGCACTCTTGCTCATAATAACTATGTGCTTAGTTAGTTTATTTAATACCCAAAAGCAGAAAAGAAGATTTTCACAGAATAAATGCATTTTCACTATATAATTCATAGAGCCCCACCCTAACACCAGAACCCCTGACCCTGGGGCCATAAAATACACAAATCTGGAAGAGGCACTCTTGCTCATCATAACTATGTACTTAGTTAGTTTATTTGATACCCAGAAGCAGAGAAGAATAAATGTATTTTCACTATATAATTCATAGAGCCCCACCCTAACTCCAGAATCCCTGACCCTGGGGCCATAAAATTCACAAATCTGGAAGAGGCACTCTTGCTCATCATAACTATGTACTTAGTTAGTTAATTTAATACCCAGGAGCAGAGAAGAAGATTTTCAAAGAAATAATGCATTTTCACTATATAATCTATATAGCCCGCCCTAGCACTATAACCCCTGACCCTGGGGCCATGAATTTCACAATTTTGGTAGAGGACTCAATGCCCATTACATTCATGTCAACAATTTGCTTGCTTGATGTCCAGGAGTAAAGAAGAGGATTTTTAAAGATTGCACTAATCTTGGTGGTTTTGCCCCCCTCAAACCCCAGGGGGGTGGGGACCATGAAATTCACAATTTTTGTTCCCCTTCACTTATAGATGCTGTATACCAAATTTGGTTGAAATTGATTCAGTGGTTTCAGAGAAGAAGCTGAAAATGTTCAAATGTTAACACACGACACACGACGCACGACAACGGACGAAAACGGATAGCAATAGGTCACCTGAGTTACTCAGGTGACCTAAAAATGGGAAAGTAGAACGTTTCAGGGAGTGTACGCCCTGGATCGATCCAGGCGCATGAAAATAATTTAACTGTCCATAAGTACTAGCGTACAGGAGCAAATATAAGTTGGTGGTTCAGAGTTATTTCCCTTACACTCGAATCAAACAATAATTTCTTTTTATACGGAAACAGCTGACTAACTATTAATGGGAAAATTCATATCTGTTTAATTCTATCTGTGAGTACTTGATTCATTTTCTAGATTAACATTCAATAAATGAGTTTTCTTGGATTTCTTCTTCACCTCACCTGGAAATGATAATGACACGTACCTGGAAATCCGTTGTCTCCTGTGATTCCAGGTAACCCCGGCAGATCAGGTTGACCTCTGTCACCTTCGACCTCCAGGAATCCTACCTCTTCAGGTTCTCCATTCAGTCCCAGGCGTCCAAAAGCTCCAGGAAATCCTGGAAGTCTAGATTCTCCTGTCTCTCCTATTAAAGGTTAGAGACAGTATAAGTATCCTCATTTGTAAAGAACAAAAAAGAAACTCAAGAAAAATTAATGGCACTCTGGCAGCCCATAGCTAATGTAAAGGTCTTTACAAAAGTACTGTGAAATCACAAATTTTCATGGGGGTTTAATTTTCGTTGTTTTCCAGGTATGATAAGACCAACGAATTCATGTCCACCATGAAAAGTAAAATGTTTCATAAATAACTACTAAGCAATTTTTCATCCACTAATTCAAATCCCTACAAACTAAGAGTTTTTAGGCAAACCACGAAAATTTGAAAAATTTGACCCCACGAAAATAAGTGATTTTACAGTAAGTCACAAAAGGTAAACAGGGAAACCTTTCACTTCTGGAATTCCTGGTTGTCCTGGCAGGCCAGGATCTCCGTTTCTACCAGGGAATCCAGTCTCTCCCTTCATTCCAGGAAGTCCTAAAATAGCACAGAAGTAAAATGAGAAGATCTTTAAAATCAGAAATGTCACGGAGTTCAAACATTTGACTCTTTTAAAACAGACACTTAAGCATAGAGCCATAAATTTGTTGCATTTGCTATACACTGTATTAATCAAATCAACTACAAATTACTAAACTTACTATCTCCAAAGTCTTCACTTAAAACTTTTTTGAAAGTTATGTACTCAAATATAGATTATACATATGACGTATATATATACATGTATATGAAATTTCACATAAAAATGAACACAGGGAACAAGTAATATGCTATACTTGCCATCAAAACCCGGTAATCCATTCAACCCTGGCTCCCCTGGTTGACACTCAGGACCCGGAGCTCCGACCAATCCATCTCCTCCGGGTATACCCTGATCGCCCTTTAATCCGTCCCTTCCTGGTAACTCTGGAAACGTTAAGTCTCTAGGGGCACCATCTAAACCACTCTCTCCTAAAACTAAGGAAACAGTGACAAAATATGTCAATCACCCAAAAATAGAAACAAAGAAAGTGGAATGGAATTAAAGCAACTCAGTGTTACACTGAACAATTAATTGATATTAGAGTTAAATTCTAAACTAGAACTGTCCAAACGGGACAAAATCTGCACACATTTTAGTGAAGATCCTTTTTCCTTTCTTTTTCACTCAAAAATAACACAGATACCTATACAGCAAAACTCGGTTATAACGAAGTCACAGGGACATCTGAAATTTCTTCGCTATACACGTAATTCGTTATAACCGTATAAGAAAATCATTTAATTTATAAAGCTGGGGATCCAAGGTGACTTCACTGTATCCGTAAATTCGCAATAAATACTAAGCGAGTTTTGCTGTATTGAACGACCAATATGTAGCATATAACTTAATTCTACCATGACATATGCATCAAATTTTAATTCAAATAAGCTTCTCTTAACGTTCACACAGAGGTAATGAAGTAATTTAATAGGCAGTAAAATAATTTGAATTTAACTAATTCCCATTAAATTTTCATGTGAAGACCGTTCAAATTTAATTCGCAGTATTTTACGTTTTATACAAAATTAAATTCTCCATGTGAACAGGTCATAAGATTTGTGTAGACTTTGGTTGGATAGTTTACCTGGGAGATCATCTTTTCCTCTGAATCCTTTCAGACCAGGAAATCCTACAATGAGACCTCCCTGCTCTCCTTTTAATCCCGGGAATCCAGGTGCTCCGTAAGGACTACTCTCACCTGTCAAGATTATCATAACAATGTAACACACCGGTACATATTTTTTGGGGATCAAATATTTATTTCTTTTTGGGCATATCTTTGGAATGAAACTGTTCGTTTTTATTTCTAAAAAAAGTTTTTTTTAAACATATCACAAAATAATTGTTAAAATGAAATTTTCAAATAAATTAAAAGTAGATCCAAGTAAAATCTTACACTATAATATACAAATTGTACCTCTCATTCCTTCTGTCCCATCATATCCTGGTCTTCCTACACAGCCAATTTCTCTGGGTAATCCCCTCTCTCCCTCCCTTCCAGGGAATCCTGGTTCTCCCTGTGCCCCCTTCAGAAGCTCAACAGGAGGTGTATCCAGTCCAGGAATACCCTGGTCTCCCTAGAAAATTCAAATACATTAAATACATGATCTAATTAAAAATGCACTGTTATAATTTCAAGACTGTCAGAAATACAAATTCTCATAAAAAAACGATTTCTTGAGAACCACTTGTACCCTCTGGTTATCACAGCAGACTTACTGGTAGCCCTGGCAGTCCCACCACACCTGATTCACCTGGAACACCTGCTTGGCCAGGTAGACCAGGTAGTCCGGCAAACCCTGGCTCCCCAGGGAATCCCTTGGGACCCACACGGCCCTTCTCCCCGGGAATTCCTGGTCGACCACTCTCTCCTTTCATTCCAACCTCAACAGGTATACGGACTAGGCCTGGCTCCCCTTTAATTCCTACAACACAGTTATCAGATTAATTTAATTATTCTCAAGATTTAGAATGTTTACATAAAGAGAAAATTAAAGTGAAATTGCTAACAATGATTTCCTGCTGAATATTTTTCTAATCAAGTTGCAAGATACAAGGTGTTGTTAATTGGACAGGTCGCGGAAACTACCTTATATGGATATCGTTGTCATTGCGCACAAAGGTGCTCACAGAAAACAATGGTCAAATCTAGTGAATGAGCCGAAAAGCTTGATGGTCTACTACATGTTTATTTTTATTACAAACACGTGGGTTGAGGGAAATTTAGGCTGCAATTTCAAATGACAGCTGAAAAGTCAATTTACAATTTTTTGAAACGTGTTTGAGAAAAATACAAAGAATAGGTAGTAATCAAGAATTCCCATGCTCACATTAACAAACAAAAATAATTTTTCCTTGTTAAAGCTGAGCACTACAGGCATAGTCCGCCATATTTCCCGTTCTTTAACGCTCTCCCAACAACTCGTATATAAGGAGCAGATCGCTATTCAGTTCAATGTATTTCACTGTAGAGAACCGAGTAGCTGCGATAATGTAGCCCTCTCCCTTTTTTTTGGGGGGGGGGAGAGGGCTACAACTCTTTAGGATCTCTATAATGGTGCAGCAGCGGGAGTGATTTGCTCCCGCACCGATTTCGGCTCAAATTAACAGTAAATGGCTATTTTATTAACATTTCTTACCTTGACTCCAAATAAGTATAGTCATCCAAGACGTAAACCAATGCAAAAATATACAGAACGATCCCTATATCGCTTATTTTTCGTGTATGTCAACAGCACAACTCGAATTTATCCGCCATGTTTACTGACCTTGATAGATTGTATTTTGGGACAGCAAATGAGAATTTAGGTTCTATAGGAGCGGATCTTTTCGGAATACCCTTATTTTAAACATAAATCTCGCTGCTTGCATACAAAAAACACTTAAAATGGTTTTATATACCTATGTTTTTGTGATGAAATTCAGCACATACATTTATAAACACCGATAATTGCTTTATTCAGTTGTTCTAAATTTCAAGCAAAAGTCTCATTACGTCACGCGTGAACTGTCATGGCTGCTGAAGTAAACTACCAGGAAACATGCAGAGTTATTTTACAAGTTTTTCACATTCAACGGGGTCCACTGTTGACAGTGAATAAAAAAATTCGTCTTATTAGAAGTAAGTTGAATGTAAAAATAATTTATTTTGCCTGCACTCGCTCCTATTAAAAAAAATATTTGCACCATTACGGAGATGCGATGGAATTGTAGCCCTCTCCAGAAAACATCAGATTAAAAAAAATCGGAGAGGGCTACATTATTGCAGCTAAGAACCGAGGAGTGAAGACATACATCTTACAAAGCGTGCTACTCAATTTCAATTTCCAACTAATTAGTAATATTCAGCAATAATCAGTAGTGCCCCTAACACTGTGACGTAAACCCCTGACCCTAAGTCCACACATTGCACAAATTTTAAAAAGGCACTCTTAAAATTGCTTTTCAAAAAATAAATAAATGTTTTATAAATACAAAGGAGCAGATTTCAAACAATTAATTCATTTTCAGTATATAAGTAGAGCCCCCCTCCCCTTCCCCACCCCTGACCCAGGGTCCTTGAAATTCACAATTCTGCAAGATTAGGGCCCTTGCTCATCATGACTATTTAGGTAGTTCATCTGCTTCATACCCAGAAACAGAGAAGAAAATTTTCAATGTATTTTCACTATATAATAAATAGTGCCCCGCCCTAACATCAGAGCCCCTGACCCTGGGGCCATAAAATTCATAATTTTAGAAGAGGCATTCTTGCTCATCATAACTATGTACTTAGTTAGTTTATTTAATTCCTAGGAGCAGAGAAAAAGATTTTCAAAGAATTTACGTATTTTCAATATATAATCAAACTAGCCCTGCCTCAACACCAGAACCCCTAACCTTGGGACCATAAAATTTACAATTTACGTAAAAGCACTATTGCTCATCATAACTATACACTTAGTTAGTTTATTTTATACCTAGGAGCAGAGAAGAAGATTTTCAAAAAATTCATGTATTTTTACTATATAATCTTCAGAGCCCCCCCCCTCCTCAACACCAGAACCCCTGACCCTGGGACCATAAAATTTACAATTTTGGTAGAGGCACTCTTGCTCATCATAACTATGCACTTAGTTAGTTTATTTAATACCTAGGAGCAAAGACGAAGGTTTTCAAAGAATTCATGAATTTTCACTGTATAATCAATAGAGCCCCCCCCCCTCCCTAAACACCAGAACCCTTGACCCTGGGGCCATAAAATTCACAATTTTGGTTGAGGCACTCTTGCTCATCATAACTATGCACTTAGTTAGTTTATTTAATACATAGGAGCAGAGAAGAAGGTTTTCAAAGAATTAATGTATTTCACTATATAATCAATAGATCCCCTGGCCCTCCTACACACACCAGAACATTTGACCCTGGGGCCATAAAATTCATAATTTTTGTAAAAGCACTCTTGCTCAACATAACTTTACACTTAGTTAGATTATTTACTACCTAGGAGCAGAGAAGAAGATTTTCAAAGAATTCATGCATTTTCACTTTATAATCAATAGAGCCCCCCCTCCCCACCAGAATCCTTGACCCTGGGGCCATAAAATTCACAATTTTGGCTGACACACTCTTGCTCATCATAACTATGTACTTGGTTAGTTTATTTAATACCCAGGAGCAGAGAAGAAGATTTTCAAAGAATTCATGTATTTTCACTATATATAATCAATAGAACCCCTCCCTAACACCAGAGCCCCTGACCCCAGGGCCATGAATTTCACAATTTTGGTAAAGGACTCATTGATGATTACAATCATGCAAACAGTTTGACTGCTTGATGTCCAGGAGTAAAGAAGAAGATTTTTTAAGATTGCATTAATTTTAGTGGTTTTGGCCCCGCCCCTCAGGTCCCACGGGGGCAGGGATCATGAAATTCACAATTTTTGTTCCCCTTTAGCCATAGATGCTTTGTGCCAAATTTTGTTGAAATTGGTGCAGTGGTTGCAGAGAAGAAGCTGAAAATGTTCAAATGTTAACACACGATGGACGACGGACGACGCACGACGACGGACGAAAACGGATAGCAATAGGTCACCTGAGTTTACTCAGGTGACCTAAAAATGCAGGTCAATACATTATTTACAAACAGAAAATGCACATTAAAACAAGAAATAATTGCAAAAAATATTTAAGACCACGATAGGAATACTATATGTCGGCCAAAGTTTCGAGTGTGCAATAGGGTTAACGAAAGCGAACAGTTTATATACCCGTCTGACAGTGCCTATTTATGAGAAGAGTTCAGCTTTAAATAGTATTTTGAAATACCACTCACAAAGTCTCCTCAAGTAAAAAACAAGAGGCCCAGGGGCCACAGCGCTCACCTGAGCACATCAGGCTTGAATTTACTCCCCCCTCCAGGCATTCCTCATTTGAACAAAATAGAATCTACACTACCAGAGGATGATTCCATAATATAAATATCACAAATTATAGCTTTGAAGTACTTGAAAAGAAGATTTTAAAAGGTTTCCCTATATATACCTATGTGAAACCTTGGTCGGCCATTTTGGCCCCATCCTAGCTCCTGGGGTCATGATTTGAACAAACTTGAATCTACACTACTTGAGGATGATTCCACATGAGTTTCATCTCTCCTGGCCCAGTGGTTCTTGAGAAGAAGATTTTTAAAGATTTTTCCTATATATTCCAATGTAAAACTTGGGTTGGCCATTTTGGCCCTACACTTGCCCCGGGGGTCATGATTTGAACAAACTTGAATCTACTCTACCTGAGGATGATTCCACATGAGTTTCATCTTTCCTGGCCCAGTGGTTCTGGAGAAGAAGATTTTTAAAGAGTTTTCCTATATATTCTTATGGAAAACTTGGGTCGGCCATTTTGGCCCCACCCTAGCCCCGGGGGTCATGATTTGAACAAACTTGAATCTACACTACCTGAGGATGCTTCGCCAAGAGTTTCATCTTTCCTGGCCCAGTGTTTCTGGAGAAGAAGATTTTTTTAAAAATGCCATTAATTTTTAACAAATTCATAATTATCTCCCATTGGAAGGGGGTGTTGCCCTTCATTTGAACAAACTTGATTCCCCCCCCCCCCCCCTTACCAAAGTAAAATTATTGCAGCAATATTGCTGCTATATTGCGGCAATATTGCGGCAACACTTTTTTGTCACCAGAAACGAACTTTTGGGGTTAGTGAAGTATCTCCGCTAGCGGCAACAACTTCTGGTGACATTCTGGCAATACTACCAGAAAAAATGAAATCACCCAAGGATAATTTGTGCCTTGTTTGGTTGAAATCGGCCCAGTGGTTCTTGAGAAGAAGATGAAAATGTGAAAAGTTTACGATTACGACGACAACGACAACAACGACAGACGACTGACAAATTTTGATCAGAAAAGCTCACTTGAGCCTTCGGCTCAGGTGAGCTTAAAATAATAAGAAGAAGAAGAAACAGAGTAAAAACTTCGTTTGGGGAACATATTGTCCTGATTCCCTGCAAGATTCAAATAATTATATGCAGCTTTTTATATTCTTTATTTAATACCCTTAATTCTTTTTTGGCGTGTCTATATATAGAATGTTATTTTTAGTAACTAGGAATCACCTGGTAATCCTGGGAATCCATCTTGGCCATCCTGTCCAGGAATTCCCATAACTCCATGTTCTCCCTTCTTTCCTGGGGAAATTTTGATCCTAAAGGGTTCACCTTTGTCACCTGTACATAAAAAAAATCAAAGTACTGAACGCACTCATGGGAGTTGAACATGGTGTATAACAAAATCTTTGACCGGGAGGTTAAGTGAGTAAACAATATTATTATTTCAAATAAAGACAACTATAAACTGTTTCAAATTTTTTGTGTTGCAACAATCTTGAGAAAGACATTCAGAGACATTGAATAGCAAAAAGAATTGATGGGCCACAATGCTTGCCTGCCTACATTAGTCCTTTTTATACCCCCTGCTTGAAAAGCAGGAGGGTCTTTATTAATCGGAAATTCCGTCCATCTGTTTGTTACGCTAATGGAATATCCATCTCTTATACGAACTCCTCTTACACCACTGAACAAAATTTTCATAGAATATAATATAGGCCTTTCAACTGCCGCTAGGGGTTGGTATAATGAACGATAACTCACGGCTGAAACTTGTTTAGAGCAGGCTCGGGGTATCTAACTGTTTACACGCAAGGTAGATTTTAGCATTTCCCAAGTGTCTCTTTGCTCTCAGTAGAATCCAGTGGTTTTAAAATTAATCACCAATGTTAAACTTATTTACCGTTTAGTTGCGGAGACCGGTTTACTGCATATTATTATTTTTTTTAATTAAAATAAAAAGTGAAATCTACCCTACTTCTGAGTTCTAACCTAATTAAATTTTTATACTCGGTCGTTCCCATTCGTGCTTTTTAACACAAATAAGATGATCAATTGTTGCATTTACTTGTAAAAATATATATATTTACACAGGAAGCGAAAAAGAGCGAACACAAAAAACATGACATTAAATTTTCTTCTTCATATTTAATACATTTGTAATTGTCAAAGAGAGTTAAAACTATTGAATATAGTCTGTTCCCATTAATTTGACTCTGTTATTCAGGTAGAGTGAAGGCGTTCTCTTTCTCTTGGTCAAAACTTTTTGTGTACTAAACAATGTAAGGAACCCTTTTGTACATATAAGAATACCAATGCTGAAGCAGCCTTTATGTCATTCCTATAAACGATAATTCATAAATCGGCACTAAGTTGGTCATTTTTCACACCTGAGTTACCTGTCATTAAACACAACATCGGAAAAGTCAATTATGAATGATTAAACTTTTTTTCTGATGTAATTAAAACTATGCATAAGTTATTATCTTTTTGATAAATTCATGTACCTATAAATCTATCTATACAATGTTTTTTACCATATGTGCAACTTGAAAAATTAGTTGAAAGGCTTATATAATATATTACATGTTGCCGTTGTGCACCTTCTAGCTATTACTTTTTCATTCTACACATAATTTCAGTTTCCCATTGCAAAATATATTCATATTAAAGGTGGTTTATCATTTATAGAATTCACATGCAGTCTTCAAATTTGTTATATATTTTTCCTTGGCACCTTTACCCATTTGTTATGAAAATTTCAGTTTCACAGGAATAATACCAATATTTATTAATATAATGTGGATTTTAACACAGGATCCTTTTAAGAGCTAAAAGGTTTGTTACATAAAACTTCTCTGTGAATATAAATGTATTTCAGTTATATGAACATTATACATGGAGTACGTCTGAAGAAAAAAGCAATACCAAGTTAAAAACAAATATTTAATGGCCAAACATAAAAATGGTGGTTATGTGAGAGTTTGTGTGTGTACAAATTATCTGGTATGTAAATGAGGTTTTCCTTTTATAAAAAAAAATATACTTCATTTTGTTTCTTTTAATCACGATTTTACAAAAACATGGGTGTCTGTTTTTGGTTTTACTAGTAACATTTATAACAGAGTAGTAGATGTAATGCTTTTGGAAGGTGATACTGCTGATTTACTAATAAATACGCATATTTCCTAAAGTTTTAATGCACTAATAAATTAATTTAAACCAAGGAAATGTTCATGAAAAGTTTGAATATATTCTCTGCACTGGTAAAAAAGATATTGCTAAAAATCTGGGACCGCCGGGCGTCGTGAAGGCTAGATTCACTGCTTGCCATCAGTATGTAGAGTTGTCGTTCGTATCTCTTTCAGTGTATGACGCTTCACTTAAAATGTTCCATTACAAAAAACTTTTGAGGTTCTTTATAATTTAGTTTTACTTTTAACGAAATCTAATATTCAAAATAAGATTACTTTATCATTACATTTACTTACATTTCAAATTATGAAAATTAGATCAATTCAGGAGAAAATGACATGAACTATTTGTGGCGTATGTTTATGTATGTTTTCTGTTGAATTTCATCGGAGTAAATCGGGCAAAACAGTAGCCTCACTTTCAGCTCTATGTAATCAACACAAATTACTGCGCATGTTAAATACGTGATGACCATGGGAAATTGAACATAGTTCAACTCCCAAAAATTGTAAGAAAAACAGTTCCAGTAATCTGTACACATAAATATGAAAGTATTGAAAAGATGCAATATGTCTTTTTCCAAAGGTAAGCATGAGAAAGTGTAAATAAGAATTTTAATTTGTTTTTTTTTCTTTTGTTGAAAATACCATGATTACCATCTTATGGAATATAATAAAAAAATATTATGCCCTTACTCCCTACTATTCTATATAGACTGTCTCAGTAAAACAAGAGGCCCAATGGCCACATCGCTCATCTGAGTAGCATTGGTGATGTCGTTCTTTATCCATTCCAATTTACCCATTGTAATACCTAGTGTGGCTTCGTCCTCTGGGGGGGGGGTCACAATTTTAAATATTTTGAATCTACACTACCCCAGGATGCTTCCCAATAAGTTTCATCTTTTCTGGCCCAGTGGATCTTGAGAAGAAGATTTTCAAAGTTTGTTCCTATATATTTCTATGTAAAACTTGGATTCCCTATTGTGGCCCTGCCCAACCCCCAGGGGTCATGATTTGAACAATTTAGATTCTACACTTCCCCTGGATGCTTCCATAAAAGTTGAGTTTTTCTGACCAGTGGTTATTGAGATGAAGATTTTTTAATGACCCCACCCTATTTTGTTTTTTCTTTATTATCTCCCCTTGGGAGGGGTCTTGGCCCTTTATTATAACAATTTAAATTACCCATTTCCTAAGGATACTTTGTACAAAGTTTGATTAAAATTGGTCCAGTGGTTCTTGAGAAGAAGTGAAAAATGTGAAGAGTTAACAGATGGACTGATGGAGGGACAGCTAGACGGACAGATGGACGATGGACAAAATGTGATCAGAAAAGCTCACTTTAGCCTTCGACTCAGGTGAGCCATAAATATTTTTAAAAATGTTTTCTAAAAAACTGTCATCAAGAATTAGAAAAAAACATTCTAATTAATTTTAACAAGACGCAAATATATTAATTAAAGAATTTAAAATAATTCAAAGCATGGGTCATTCTAAAACAGACTATAGGACACCTGTAATCAATCTTTTCTGTTCTCTCCCTGCCCTTTCTTGTACACCATTCCCGCCTAGCCAAAACCAGTCACCAGAATTTTGGCTAAGTGGGAAGACACCTCCATTTTACACCACAACAGCCAACATTATTGTAATCAGTGGTAAAAATGGAATCAAAAACAAGGATTTTTTTCCTTTTAAATATCTAAACATTATAATTAAAGCAACAGAGGGAGAGGTATTACCTAACATTACGCATAAACCCGGTAGTTTATGAATTGTATCAAAAGTGGGGTGGCTTCCTTCGGAGTATTTGACCTGCAGCAATAAGCTAACTTTGGAAATCTATAGTCTGTTCTTACCAAAACATTCACTATTTTAATAATCTAATGTTATGTTTTTAATTTCTATTTTTTACATTCTTATTCATTTGCCTGCCTCTATTCAGTCTGCGTTCTTCTTCTGCATTCTTCGAGATAAACAAACAAGAGGCCCAAGGGCCTTGAATCACTCTTCTAATAAATTGTACAATCTATCACTTCTATTAGAAGCCTCCAACTCAATTAGTATCATAAGACCCTAAATGCATAAACTTACAAAGTTTGATAATATTTAGCCTGTTAAGACTGAAGATATCATAATATAATTATAAAATACCATAAGTAGGTCACAGTGACCTACCTTTTGATTGAAATTTTTCTGAGGACTCAAGATACATTAATTGAAGATGATTCTAATTAAATAAGTACCTGAGATATTCAAAAGTAGGTCACTATGACCTACTTTTTGGTATACATTCTCTGAAATGCTCAAGTAGTGTAGATTCAAATTCGTTCAAATCATGACCCCCAGGGGTAGGGCCGGGCAAAAATGGCCGACCAAAGTATTTTAAGATATATATATACATGTATAGGAAAATTCCTTAAAAATCATTTTCTAAAAAATAGCAAATCAATGATTGGTCATGGGACTACTTTTGGATTTAAACTTTACAATAAAAAGCCATTTTCTACTTTTTCCTACCCTTAGTGCTCAGGTGAAAATGTGGCCCATGGGCCTCTTGTCTGTCTCTGACCAGTAGATCTAGAGCTAATAAAATTACGGTAAGAGGAAAATCTGTAACAAAACTATGTAACCCCAACACCCTGACCCAGGGGTGCCAAAAAATAACTTTTTTGCTAGATGCACCTTACATCATTTATATACTTGGATCATTGGCATAAAACCCAGAAGCAAGGGAAAAGATGTTCAGAGAATTAATGTATTTTCAGTATATGATCTATAGAGCCCTGCCCTAACACCAGAACCCCTGACCCTGAGACAATTAATGTAACAACTTAGGAAGAGGCACTTTTGCTCAATATAACTATGTACGAGGGTTGTTCAGAAATTATTGAGACATTTACTTTTACTCCAAAAAGGACAGAAATAATCTCAGAAAAATTCATCAACCTTTAACGAAGACCAAATTAAACAATTATGCAAAATTTCTAATTTCTATAAAAATTACATAATTTCTTGTGAAATTGTAAACATATGTCTATTGACCTGGAGCAGCATCAATACGTCATTGTAACGTCACAGCAGCTGGGGTTGTTTTTGCATGTAAAAACGACCGGGAAGCGTTTACTCTTCTTTCTTTGTTATCATATATTTTTCATTTTAAAATTCAACTGTCTATTTTATTGAACAATTCTTTAAAGCAAATGTACTGTTGCTTCACTTGTGTAATTTTTTCATGCGTCATATATTATACAGAATGATTTAGTTTCATACAGTGCGCATTTATGCAACGAGGGTCAATGTTTATAATTCCGTAGCGGTAAAATTTGATGGTCGTCCAGAGTGTTTGATTATATTTTAGTTGAATTATAGGTTAGACAAAAGTATATACATATGAAATTACAAACCATGTTTACCGCTGTCAAAGTTTTTCAGGTCATTCAGTCTGAATAAGAGTTTTATATATGCCATACACAAATTTTTAAGTCTCTCGCTGCTCCGCCTTAACATCAAATCCCATTTTGTTGCCGTTATCAGATTTCTGTACCGTGCTTATTTTTTCTTGTGATCTCCATATTCCTGATCAGAATGATACCAAACTTGCACAACATGAAGTCAAAATGATATGAATAAATTAGACACATAAATTGATTTATTTTCGCTCTTATTATGGGTTCATGGTGGGGTGGAACGTTGGTGATACATATTTTCAACATCTGTTTTCTTGACTGCTCCAGGTACCCCTACCATTGACACATTTTTATACCACTGAAGATAAGAAATTTAATATTTGTGAATTATATTTTGCTTTTATGAAATCTTAGAGTTTGTCAAACATATGTGCAAATTTTCACTGAAAGACGTTCATTAGAAAGAAAAATATACACACTGTCTCAATAATTTCCGAACAGCCCTCGTACTTAGTTTGTTTTTTTAATACCCAGAAGCAGAGAAGATTTTCAAAGAATAAATGCATTTTCACAATATGATCTATAAAGCCCTGCCCTAACACCAGAACCCCTGACCCTAAGGGCCATAAAATTCACAATTTTGGAAGAGACACCCTTGCTCATCATAACTATGTACTTAGTTTGTTTATTTAATACCCAGGAGCAGAGAAGAAGATTTCAAACAAATAATGCATTTTCACTATATAATCTATCTAGCCCCACCCTAGCACTAGAACCCCTGACCCTGGGGGCACGAATTTCACTATTTTGGTAGAGGACTCAATGCTCATTACATTCATACCAACAGTTTGCCTGCTTGATGTCCAGGAGAACAGAAGATTTTTAAAGAATGCAATAATTTTAGTGTTTTTAGCCCCAGTCCTCAGGCCCCTGGGGGGAGGGACCATGAAATTCATAATTTAATATGTTCCTCTTCACTCAATCAAATGCTGTTTATCAAATCTGGTTGAAATTGGTTCAGTGGTTTCAGAGTAGAAGCTGAAAATATTAAAATGTTTACAAAAGCCCGGCAATGAACAAAGATGGACGAAACTGGAAAGCAATAGGTCACCTAAGTTACTCAGGTGAAGAATATATTGACATCATCAAAATACATCCAGGGACGTCACTTCCAGCCAATCCGGAAGTAGTCAGAAAATGCTTATTTTTGTTGTTACTGACAAGTCTATGGGAAATATTTGTCACTGGACATGCTGGAGGCATAAAACTAAATTTTCCGTTGACCAATGTTCTGGTCGAACCAGAAGTAGAAAGAAATGGCTTACATTTGCAATAGTCATCATAGATTTGGAAGATTTTACTATTTTTTTGAAGTACGAGCTACTTTCCGTCAAACAGGACTCACTGACCTACTCGTTGCTTTGCAACAAGCTTTGCTATAGTTTTTTTACTTTAGTTAATCCAACAAATTCAAAATCCATTTAAGATATTATGCATCAATTATAAACATTTTTTCTAATTAAAACAACTTACCTGTACTTTTTCCATGAGCTAGAGATGGCAAGATGTTAAGCTTCTCAAGAAGCACTGAGCACGCCTTCACCTAATACAAATTTTAAAAAATCACAGTCATTCATTTTGTATGGTAAATGATCCAATCATTAAAAGTGTGGGACAACAAGAGGCCCAAAAACCACCTCACTCACCTGAGCTCATTGACAAGGGGAAAAAAGCAAAAATCAGCTCTGTATTGAAAAGTTACGAGGGGGAATTTGATTTTTAAACTACCTGATGATGCATCCAGATAAATACATGTATACCAAATGACTTAAGTGTTCTTGTTCATTTCAACTCATATTGTGGGTCAGCCCTTGTCCTAAAGCCTTTATTTGAAACAATTTAATTTTAAACAACCTAATTATGCCTCCATATCAATATGAAAATCATGGATGATTCTCTGTTCTTGAGAAAAAGATTTTTTTCCTAAAATATGTTCTAAGTTGCTTGTTCTTAGAAAAAATTAGAGTCTTAAAGGATTTTTTAAAATGTTCCTATGTTAAATTTAGATCATGCACCCATTGTGACCTTGCCCTATTCCCAAGAGTCATGATTTGAACAACTTGGATATATACTTGGACTTATATTAAGTTTAGAAAAGAAATATCAATGACAGTATCAGTGATCATATATTGCACAAAACAGCATACAGAATTGAAATAAGTTGCACAAGGAAGAAAAATAATTAATAATTTAAGACTTGTGGTCAGCTTAAATTAGAAGGGTGAACATGTCATGTTCATGTTCACCCTGCTAATTTAAGCTGACCACAAGTCTTAAATTTACAACACCGTTCATCGAAATAAAAAACTGATGTACAGAATTATGTATCATAGTGTATTCTGCTTGTGTGCCAAGTTATATTGAAATCAGGCCAAAACTGTAAGAGAAGTAGCATTTTGAGAATATTTCACAAAAATTTCTATTTTTAGTAACCATGGCAACACCGTTCATCGAAATCAAAAACTGATATACAGAATTATGTATCTTTAGTTAGTGTAGTCTACTTGTATGACAAGTTATATTGAAATCAGACCAAAACTGCTGGAGGAGTAGCATTTTGAAAAATTGTTTACAGACATACAGACAGACAAACAGACCAATTATAGACCCTTGAATGAGAGCGTGGCCCTTCATTTGAACAAACTTGAATCTCCTTTACCCAAGGATACTTTGTGGCAAGTTTGGTTGAAAACGGCTCAGGTGAGCTAATAAAAACAGATGCATAGAATTATGTATATTAATAAAGTCTACTTGTGTGCCAAGTTATATCAAAATCAGACCAAAACTGTAGATTGAATAGCATTTGGAAAGAATTTCACAGAATTTATTTTTTGTAACCATGGCAACACCGTTCAACGAAAGCAAAAACTGATGCAGTATTATGTATCTTTGTGTAGTCTACTTGTGTTCCAATTTATATTGAAATCAGACCAAAACTGTAGGAGGTATAGCATTTTGAAAGAATTTCACAGAAATTTCTATTTTTGTAACCATGGCAACACTGTTCATCAAAATCAACAAGAGCCCATGGGCCATATCGCTCACCTGAGAAGCTTTGACCATTCTGTTCTTTACCAGATTTCCTCCTTGTAATACATTCATATGCATCCCTACCCTACCCCACTGATCATAATTCAGACATTTTGAAATCTATACTACCAAAAGTTCCTTCCATGTACACATAAGTTTCAGCTTTTCTGGCCCAGTGGTTCTTGCAAAAAAGATTTTCAAAGATTTTTCCTATATATTTCTATGTAAAACTTTGATTCCCCATAGTGGCCCTGATCCCCCCCCCCCCCCCCCCCCGGGGGTCATGATTTGAACAATTAACAATCTACATTACCCTAGGATACTTCCACTTAAGTTTCAGCTTTTCTGGCCCAGTGGTTCTTGCGAAGAAAATTTTCAAAGATTTTTCCTTTATATTTCCATGTAAAATTTTGATTCCCCATAGTGGCCCCGCCCTTCCCCTGGGGGTCATGATTTGAACAATTTACAATCTACACCATCCCAGGATGCTTCCACATAAGTTTCAGCTTTTCTGGCCCAGTGGTTCTTGAGAAGAAGATTTTTTAATGACCCCACCCTATTTTTCTCTTTTCTTGATTTTCTCCCCTTATAACGGGACTTGGCCCTTTTTCTTTAAAAATTTAAATTCCCCTTCACCCAAGGATGCTTTGTACCAAGTTCGGTCAAATTTGGCTTTGTGGTTCTTGAAAAGAAGTCGAAAATATGAAAAGTTGACAGACGGACGAACAGCTAGAAAGACGGACGGATGGAGGACGGACAAATTAAATGTGATCAGAAAAGCCTCGGCTCAGGTGAGCTAGAAACTGATGTAAAGAATTATGTATCAAAGTGAAGTCTACTTGTGTGCCAAGTTATATAGAAATTGGAACTGTAGGACCATGTGGGCCACATCACTCACCTGAGTACCAAGGGTAGGACTAGTATGAAATGGCTTTTTATTGTAAAGTTTTAATCCAAAAGTAGTCCCTGGTGACCAATCATGGATTTGCTATTTTTTAGAAAATGATTGAGAAGAAGATTTTTAAATAATTTTCCTATATGTTTCTATGTAAAACTTTAATCGGCCAATTTGGCCCCGCCCTACCCCCAGGGATCATGATTTTAAAAAAAATTGAATCTACACTACCTGAACATGCTTCCATATAAATATGATGAATAATGGCTTTGTCATTCTTGAGAAGAAGATTTTTAAAGAATTTTCCTATATATCTCTATGAAAAACTTTGGTCGGCCATTTTGGCCCAGCCCTCCCCCCCCCCACCCCCTGGGTCATGATTTGAACAAACTTGAATCTAACCCGACACTACCTGAGCATGCTTCCATATAAATAAGACGAATTATAGCTTTGTCATTCTTGAGAAGAAGATTTTTAAAGAAATTTCCTATATATTTCTATGTACAAATTTGGTCAGCCATTTTGGCCTCGCCCAACCCCCGGGGGTCATGATTTGAACAAACTTGAATCTACACTATCTGAGCATGCTTCCATATATATATGATGAGTTATGGCTTTGTCATACTTGAAAAGAAGATTTGTAAAGAATTTTCCTATATATTTCTATGAAAAACTTTGGTCGGCCATTTTGGCCCCACTCTACCCCCAGGGGTCATGATTTGAACAAAATTGAATCTACACTACCTGAGCATGCTTCAATATAAATATGATGAATAATGGCTTTGTCATTCTTGAGAAAAAGATTTTTCCTGTATATTTCTATGTAAAACTTTGGTCGGCCATTTTGGCCCCGCTCTACCCCCAGGGGTCATGATTTGAACAAACTTGAATCTACACTACCTGAGCATGTTTCCATATAAATATGATGAATTATGTCTTTTCATTCTTGAGAAAAAGATTTTTAAAGAATTTTTCTATATATTTCTATGTAAAACTTTGGTCAGCCATTTTGGCCCCACCCTACCCCCGGGGGTCATGATTTGAACAAAATTGAATCTACACTACCTGAACATGCTTCCATATATATATGATGAATTATTGCTTTGTCATACTTGAGAAGAAGATTTTTAGAGAATTTTCCTTAATATATTTCTATGTAAAACTTTGGTCGGCCATTTTGGCCCCGCCCAACCCCCGGGGGGTCATGATTTGAACAAACTTGAATCTACACAACCTGAGCATGTTTCCGTATAAATATTATGAATTATGGCTTTGTCATTCTTGAGAAAAAGATTTTTAAAGAATTTTCCTATATATTTCTATGTAAAACTTTGGTCGGCCATTTTGGCCCCGCCCTACCCCCGGGAGTCATGATTTGAACAAACTTGAATCTACACTACCTGAGCATGTTTCCCCATAAGTTTCATCTTTCCTGGCACAGTAGTTCTTGAGAAGAAGATTTTTAAAATATACCACTAAATTTTCATTAATTCCCAATTATCTCCCCTTGAATAAGGGTGTGGCCCTTCATTCGAATAAACTTGAATCCCCTTCACCCAAGGATACTTTGTGGCAAGTTTTGTTGAAATTGGCCCAGTGGTTCTTGAGAAGAAGTCGAAAATGTGAAAAGTTTACAGACAGACAGACAGACGGACAGACAGACAGACGGACGCCGGACAAAATGTGATCAGAAAAGCTCACTTGAGCCTTTGGCTCAGATGAGCTAAAAAGTAGCATTTTGAAAAATTGTTTACAGACAGACAGACAGATGGACAACAGACGCATTACTATTGCATAAGCTCTTCTGGTTTCTAATATATCTTAAACACCTACAATTCATAATATCATTTACCTTTATTGCTGCTTTTCTTTCTTCCTTTGCATTGGGATCCTAATAAGGAGATAAAGAGATTCTTTTTCATTGACAATCATTTTGTATGGAAATTCAAGGACTACATAAAAGATGGTTATGCACTAGGCTGAGTTTATTGTAATTGTTATTTTAAAGATAATAAATTTTGAATATATATATTTACATTTGCATTATTCTTTATTGGATGAACCTATTGAAGAGAAAATATGTTCAATTCTATGTGAATGAAATATTTGGGGGTCAGAGATCATAGCACGACCAAATCACAGATGGAGGTGATATTTTGTCTAAATATATCTGTCATGGCGCAACTTCTTTTGGAACACTTCTAAATTAATACAATTCAATGATAAATCAAATGACATGGCTATTTTTTGATCACCAGATGTGCAAAAAATCTACTTTGGATGTGAATACATTTTTGAATAATCTAATTAGCCTAAAACTACACATACCTTTTCAATCCAAAATTCCTTTGGAGTTATGTAAATAAAAACAGGTAATTTTGACTTCAAATATTTTATAAACTTATGATATAGTTGGATTATTCTCAGCTGCGATCATAGTTCTTTCACTATATACTGATATTTCCTGAACAGGACTGCTAAACATGAATGTAAACATTGAATGATGGAGAGAAGTGAACTTTTTAGACCATTATAACTTGTAGGTCATTGTGCGTCACGACATAGCTGCGGCGACCTGTTCGTGTAATAAATGCAGTTTTTGCTCCAAATCTATGTCTAGCTCAAATGTAAATATAAGTAATAAACAACACTGTTAAAAACTTCTCTGGGAAATGAACTTTTAGTTGGTACTTGAACAAATCTACTAAGAAATTAAGCCCTTTGGGCTTCACAGTTAGGATCTGATCATGTGTCCAACTAAAAGTTGAAATTTCCAAGACAACTATTTAACAGTGTTGTTTATTTCTTAAATATACATATACATGATTACTTACATGCTTACATAGACTTACATGCTCACAGACGAACAGACAAATGAGATTTAATGTCATCTCATATTCGCCACAAGTGAGGGACAACAAGAAGCCAATTGGCCATATCAATTGTATATCAAATACCTTTTTTCTCCATGGAAGGAACTTTTCATCATCTCCGTAGTCGTATTTAATTTCTTCTCCTTTGAAAATTTTTCGTCTTGCAAATAAGGCAAGATGGGGGTTCCCTTCCACTTCTAGCAACCTCATCTCCGAGTTGTTCTCAACACTATTTAGTGGAGCGTCATTTACATATCTTCCTTTTTGTCGAGAAAAGGTTGCATCAATCCTTCATTCAAAAAGACAAAAAGTCTTAAATAGTTTAAAAACCATCTTCACTAGCCAAGGCTTTTTGGAGCAGAGCGGACTGTAAACCTTTGGCTAGTGAAGATGCTCAAAGACTAAATATTCAGTTTTTTTTTCATTAGGCCACGCCAATAATAATTTTGATTGACCCATGCATGCACCTGTATTTAAGGTAGGACACACCGGTAGGCAAAATTTTTCCTCCGATTCAAATTTTCTGAAACTTTGAAATTTTGTTCTAGGATACAAAATCTAACGGAATCTCTAATATGATAAAAATTCAGCCGCAGAGCTCCAGATAAGGTGCGTATTTGCAGAAATATGCATCAAAATTTTTAAAATATGCATAAAAAGCAAGAAGTCTGTGAGCCAATGCTCACTTGTAATACCCCCTCCCCCTTTCTGATGTAAATAAGCACTATCATGTTAATATAATGTTTACACAAGTTCAATTACAGGCAGATGAAGTTGACATCAGATTCATATCAAAATTAGTCCCACCATATGGCATGCCTCAACAAAGTCAGTAATAAAATTTCAAGCATCTTCTATGAATAGCTAATGAGAAAACTGCTACGAAAATTTGTCCTGCATGAAACGGTCAGAAGCACAGACAAACAGGAAGTTGACATTAGATTGGAGCAAAAATGTACCCCATCATATGGCATGCCTCAGAAAAGACTGTTTTGAAATTTCAAGCATCTACCTTGATTAGTTGCTGAGAAAACTGTGGCGAAAATGTGTTATAATGCATGAAATTGACAGACGCACAGACAAACAGGAAGTTGACATCGGATTTGAGCAAAAATGTATCCCACCATATTGCATGCCTCAGAGAAGACTGTTTTAAATTTCAAGCATCTACATTGAGTAGTTGCTGAGAAAACTGTGACGAAAATTTGTTTCGGACGGACACACAGCTGGACGGACACACAGCTGGACAGACAAGACAGACAGACACACATGGGTAAAACAGTATACCCCCCTTGTTCGGGGAAGGGGTATAATTAAAGCTGAGTATACAGTCATGCATTGCATTCGAAAATAAGCATTACACCACGAAAGTATTGCGTTCACTGGATTGAATAATACAAGTACGACTTAGCTAATGAAATGAATTGAAGTGAACTCAAAGTTTGATTTTTCTCAAAACAAAATACAGATTTAAAAGCATTTTTATATTAACAGGAATATTCATACTAGTAATAGAGAGGACAATAATTTCCATTTCAGGAGAAAGAGTCAAAGATTTAGATTATAATCGATTTTGCATAATTTTTAATTTACCATTCAAGAGGTCTCTTAAATTCTCTAGAGTTCTCTGTTTTGTAAGAACTACATATGGTTTTTGCATAACGTTTATATTTTTATTATGGGTCAATAGCCAATTTATGATATTTCTCAACTTGCCATATAACTGAAGATTTTCTTTAACTCTTGTTATGATATCATCTTAAATGGAGGAAAAGGTCTAGTAGATGTACATGTACCTGCAATACAGTGGCTGGAACGTTATTGTTGACAACTTACACGAACGATCACGTTACGCGAACGATTCTGCATGATTAATGCATGATTTAACCTGTTACATGAATGATCTTTCACGTTCACGATTCTACACGTTACATGCTCTTACACAATTGTTAACTCAAACGCACAATTCTTCACTCAAAATAGTTAAAAATATTAAGGAATCAATACTTTCAAAACGATATACAGCTTAATACTTATTTAAGATTTCAAAGAATTATTAATATCATTTCATAGACTTTGAAGAATAAAACAGAAAATGATATTTCTGTAACTAAATATATGCAAGACTTAATATTTTATAAAAATAACTATCTCTAAAGTAATTCTCAGTTAAAAAAAAATGGATTTTGTTCATCTATTAGACTATATACATGTATGTAGGTCGTATAATTTGATTGAATTGGATTTCATGATATGCAGAAAGGGGGATACGATTGAACAAACATAGGTAATCAAAGATTACGAAGCTCACCTTGATGAATGTTATCAGTTTAGTAATGCAAATCCTACATCATATTTTCTTAATATTTAGTATTCATCCCAACAACAATATTCTTGCAATTTGTGCTTAACCCTCTACATGGCATATATATATTTCTATGTGTTTAGTGTGAAAAACATGTATTGTGTAAACAAATATTCATAACAGTTAAAACTGCAGATATCAAAGACTTCAAGTTCATACCGATTGATCTGTTCCCAAAACTTTAACCTGGTCTCTTGTATGGAAAATATAGGTCAGATCAAGCATCCCAAGCAAGTCTGATAGTGTCTATCCTAAGATGCATCATCCTTGCAAGTTTGATTTAGCTAGGGCTTATAGTTACTTGGGAATGAAAATGTAGGTCAGATCCAGCATCCGAGGCAAGTTTGGTAGTGTACATCCCTAGATACATCATCTATGCAAATTTGGTTCAGGTAGGGCTTATAGTTACATGGAAATCAAAATGTAGGTCAGATCCAGCATTTTTAACCTGGGACGCCGACGCCGACGCCAACGCGGGGGGTATAGCATAAGCTATAAGACTTCGTCGAGGTGAGCAAAAAATGGCAGCATGGAATGACTTATTAAAATTATAATTACAAAGAAGTCGGTTCACTTTATGCATAAAATGGCCCTGTATATATACCAAATATACCAATTAAGTAATGAACAGTTCATTTTCTATTTGAAACATTAAAATAAAATAGAGACTTGGTGCTTTCATATCCTATTAAAAAAACTCTTCTTAAAGTTCTTCTAGGAGAACTGACTTTATGAAATCGCAATGTTCTTGAATTTTTAGTTAAACATGTATTAATTGAGTACAGTTAATTCTCGATAAACCGCCTCCTTTTGTAATTTAGAAATCATGGCGGTATAACGAATTTGGCGATGATTTGAATTTCCCATATTTTCGGAAACAAAAAGTAGAGTTACCGTTCTTAGAAAAACCATAAAGTGTTTCTATTCTTATAAGTACTTACATGTACTGTATACAGGGTTATTTTCGCTCCGTATTATTTTGGCCCTTTCACACTTGCAAACAATTTTGCCCCGTTTTAAATTCGTCCAATCTTAGTTTTGTTAAAAAAATTATCCTGTTTTCTTTGAATTCGCCCTGTTTTAAATTCGCCCAAAAGATCTTAGGGCGAGAGGGGCGAAAATAACACGGGGGCGAAATTTTCCCTGTATACAGTATACATGTATACAAAACATATTTCTAAATTTAAATATACTTCAAGTATTTTTCTATGTACGATTTCTTTAAAACAAAATGTGCAGTTATGAAATAAAGACATGTACATGTGCATTATGTACATGTAATCGGCACGTCTAATATTGAAAAACAAGAGGCCCATGGGCCACATCGCTCACCTGAGAAGCGTGGACCATTCCGTTCTTTACCAGATTTCCCCCTTGTTATACATAATGCATCCCCACCCTACCCCACTGAGTGCCGAGCATAGGCCTAAATTTGCAGCCCTTCACCGGCAATGGTGACGTCTCCATATCAGTGAAATATTCTGGAGAGGGACGTTAAACAGTATTCAATCAATCAATCTAAAGTGTCATATATTTTTAGCTTTGGCAGGATTTGTTGTGTAATGGGTTATTGCCCTCTACTGTAAAGTAAGATAGGAGTTGGTGGTATTATTTCAAAGGATTCAGCTCCCTTATTTATTGACCAATTTCTCTGAAAACTGGCTTAATTGTGTCTCAAATATGTGTGTTCACCAAACAGAATCTCAAATTTTTGATATCTTTCTTAGTTCTTGAATTATTGGGAAAATGTTGAATTTGTCTAATAAATTAATGGTTACCTTGAGGGACAATTATGGTTGTAACTTTTGAAATAGAAGATTTATCAAAAATCTGAGATACAGCTTTTAAGTTCAATATCAGGATGCTTCCACATACGTTTCATCTTTCCTGGTCCCATGATCATGAAACAGACTAAGACAGGGTTAAGTCAAATTTTCAATTGCCTGTAAAATCTTTATCGATTATTGAATTAATCTCAATATTTGCAGATAACATCGCTTTTAGAAAATTTTGTGTAGTAATATTTTGAATAAAAAATGCATGACTTCTACAACATTTGAATACAACTTAAAAATAAGTGACTTAAGCTTAAGATGTTTCTTGATCCCTAGGCCTGGTCCAGGGGTTCTTGAGAAAATGTTTAAAGAATTTTCCTATATTCCTATGCAAAACTCTAATTGGCCATTGTGGCCCCACCCTACCCCCTGGGGTCATGATTTGATCAAACTTGAATCTACACCACGTGAGGATGTTTCCATACAAGTTTCATCTTTCCTGGCCCAGTGGCTCTTGAGATTTTAAAAAGATGCCATTTTTTCAATAATTCTTAATTACCTCCCCTTCAAATTGGTCCAGTGGTTCTTGAGAAGAAGTAAAAAATGTGAAAAGTTTACAGACAGATGGAGGGCCGGACGCCGGACAGAATGTGATCAGAAAAGCTCACTGGAGACTTTGGCTCAGTTGAGCTAAAAAAGAACAATGATGTCATGTAATTTTAACTCAAGCTAGAAAATGTTGTAAATGTTGTCTTTTAAAATAATAAACCAATTTGGGCGATTAGACCCTTCTTGTATGCTTCTTTATAAATATTTGTTTGTCTTTTTTTATTCTAATAATATACACTTTATAACATGATGTTTAGTTGTGAGGCGGTGACACCCCCTATTTCATTTATTTATTTCCATGCATCTTTTGGTACAAGAGAAATTTGAAAATATGATTCAAAATATTAAAGAAATTGACACATAGACATTGCTAATTTTGATCAACCCTCGTACATGAATTTTTTTGCAATTTATGTCTTGGAAATTAAATCTTTGATAAATGGCATTTGAAAAATCAGCAGAATTATGACCCTGCGGAAAAAGTATGTTAATAGTATATTAATTATATTAACAAAAGGTTTAATATTTTAATAAACCAATACATGTATATTGGTAATATTACACACCTAACTAGTTCTGTAATTAACATTTTGAACAAGTAAAATGTTATTACATTTACTTCCTAAATGTATGTCAGTAATATCTTGTTGTAAGTATATCAAGGAATAAACATACCACTTTTTCTTTTCTTTGTACTTAAATAGGTAGATATAGCTTCCAATGTGGGAGGGATATTTTTCCAGTCTGTTTAATCCCTCCCGGTAACTGTGTATCAGTTCCCCATCATATTCTAGAAGAAACTCCCCTTCACAAAAATCCCTTCCTGCAAACACTCCTTTTCCTGTAAAAAAAAGACACAATTCATCAAAGACTAGAAATATGTCAATAGGACATGAATGCCCCGCCGAGGATATATCAGTAAAGCAACATGAAAATTTGTATGTGTTTAAAATTTGATCAGAATATCCAGAATAGTGATGCAGCTGAATTGCTTGTTTGGAAAATACAGGTCAGAACCAGCATCCGAAGCAAGTCTGGTAGTGTCCAACCCTAGATGCATCATCCATGCAAGTTTGGTTCAGGTAGGGCTTATAGATACTTGGAAATAAAAATATAGGTCAGATCCAGCATCCAAAGCAAGTCAGGTAGTGTCTATCCCTACATGCATCATCCATGCAAGTTTGGTTCAAGTAGGACTTATAGTTACTTGAGAATAAAATATAGGTCAGATCCAGCATCCGAAGCAAGTCTGGTAGTGTCCATCCCTAGATACATCATCCATGCAAGTTTGGTTCAGGTAGGGCTTATAGTTACTTGGAAATGAAAATATAGGTCAGATCCAGCATCCGAAGCAAGTCTGGTAGTGTCCATCCAAAGATGCATCATCCATATAAGTTTGGTTCAGGTAAGGCTTATAGTTACTTGGGAATAAAAATATAGGTCAGAACCAGCATCTGAAGCAAGTCTGGTAGTGTCCATCCCTACATACATCATCCATGCAAGTTTGGTTCAAGTAGGACTTATAGTTACTTGGAAATGAAAATATAGGTCAGATCCAGCATCCAAAGCGAGTCTGGTAGTGTCCATCCAAAGATGCATCATCCATGCATGTTTGGTCCAAGTAGGGCTTATAGTTCCTTAGGAATGAACCTGTTCCTAAAACTTTTACCTGGTCACTCGTCTTGAAAATGTCAGTCAGATCCAGCATCCAAAGCAAGTCTGGTAGTGTTCATCCCTAGATGAACCATAGCTCTCATCAATATCTATCAGCATATGAAGTTTGATGAAAATATCTTGGATAGTTTCTTTGAAACTTAGCTTTGAACAGAGCTAAACGCAAAGTGTGACAGAAGGACGGAAGGACAGAAGGACGAAAGGACGGAAGACGGACAAGACAAACACTATATGCCCCGGCCATATTCATGGCGGTGCAGAAAAATATATATGGCTAGAAATATAGCCTGCATATAAACCATACTTACAATCAAACTTCATTATTATCTGAAACTCCTTATGAGTAAAAAAAAGAGATAGGCCCATTCAATAATTTGAAATTTATGGAACTCCCCAATCACTCCGATACATGTAATGATGTATATAAATGGTTTTCAAGATATTGGTGTAGAAGTACTAGTCCAACGTTTAATCATTATGTATGCAATTGGTTTGTTTGTTTAATACCCAAGAGCAGTGAGAAATATTTTTGAAGAGTACATGTGATGCATTTTCACTATAAACAACAGAGCCCCAACCTAACACTAAAATCCATGACCCTAAGGCCAAATTATTCTCTAATTTTCAAGGGGCACCTTCCTCATGAGTCATCATAACTATGTGTATTAAGTTAAATTTATTTATTACCCAGAAGCAGAGAGGATTTTCAAAGAGTCAACGCACTTTCACTATATAATTGACAGAGCCTTTACCGGGAACCAAAACCCCTGAATCCTAATTTTGGAAGAAGTCACTCTTCCTCATCATAAAAATACATTAAACAAAACATATTCAACGAGTTTCTTTAAACCCAGGAGCAGAGAATAAGTTTTTCAGAGATAAATGTATTTTCACTATATATTTTATAATTATAATAACCCTATCTTACATATATGTAGTACAAGAACCTCTGACCCTGGGGCTAAATATTTATTAGCCTTATAATTACATTTATCATTAATGCCAATGGTTTGACTGCTTGATGTCCAGGAGTAAAGAAGATTCATAAAATTGTATTAATTTAATTGGTTTTGGCCCAACCCTTCAGGCCCCAGGAATGCAGGGACCACGAAATTCAAAATTTCTGTTTTTCTTGACCCATAGATGCTTTATAAAGAATGAGTGCACTTTTTTTAAAATACTTCATTTACAACTTTTTTCAGGTACCCATTTTAATCTTTACATTACAATATATCGCTAAATTAATCTATGATTTGTGCAAGCATATTCTTTTGATATTTATGCAAAATGCTGTTTATCTCCACCTTCTCACCAATTCTCCATTGGAGTCGGTGAACTCCATCCATGGTGTAGTACCTAAACGGTTGCCATCAGAAAAAAATTGCGCGTTCATTGCTGCTATCTGAAAACTGAGCGGTTGCTAGTGGAAAAAATGGACGAAATTGTAAGTATTTTTCTTCGCTGGCTCAACAAAATGGTCAATAATTCGATTATTAAAGTTTAGCCGCTTGGTATTTCACCCTTTCGGAACGTTACATACAGGGTGTCCCAAAACATATGTTACACTTTTAATTATCTATAACTTTATCAAACTAAACGCTATCCAAAAGATATTTTGTCAACTTCTAGTGTATTAGCATACATTTTATCTTACACACCTTCAGGAAATTCTGTTAAGAAGTCAGGGAATTATAACATCCTAATGTCGCCCTAATTTTTTTTTATATGGAACCTTCATGTGAACAGATGGTAAGCCTTCACATTTTTTTTTTGCAAAGATACAGACATAATATAGGGACTGAAAACTTGGGCTAATCTTTTTTTTTATCGGACCAGGTGTAGCCCCCCCCCCACATCTTTCAACTTGCTTCCGACGTCTATGGCATATGCACACACACGCACACCTGCACAATACATTCAAGTTACAGACGCCCCCCCCCCCCCTCCACATTTATTTCTGCTAGCAGCCGTACAATTTTCGAATAGCAGCATTGAACGCGGTTTTGTTCCGATAGCAGCCGTTTAGGTACTACACCGTGCCATCTAGACTTAGTATTACATAATGTAATATCAAAGTGCAATGCATATTGGCAAGAAATACAAAACTCCCAAGAAATCTATGTGCAAGTAGAATATAAAAATATAACTTATTAAAAAATTTAAGTTATCATTAAAAAATATTTGTGTTTGTAAATAACTTATTCAAGTTATTTTTCTGATAACTTGTTTGAGTTATGCCCCTGACTGGGTAAGCTAAAACTAATATTTAAGGTAATTCCACCCTCCTATGATGTCATAGGTTATCATAAAAACTGTAATTAGTTTAAATTCATACCTTTTAGAAAAATATATCTTGGAAGAATGCTTTACTAGTACAATAGGTGTAATGATAAATATTGTATAGTTAAAGAATTAAGAAAATGCATATTTTCTATATTTAATCAATTATTCAATCTTCAAAAAATGTTAACAAGGGCAATAACTCCTTCTAAGGTCTCTTCATTCAGGCATTTGCTTTTCTGTAAAATAGTTTACCTGATATTCAAAATTCAAAAGTATCTTTTAAGTAGGGAGTATTTAGGAACACTCAGAATCAGAATTATGCATTTTAACCAGTCTTTACTTATTTTTCTTAATACCGTTTCCAAAAAATGTCCAATTCTTTATGTTGATATACACTCATTTACACTTCTGTTTATTTTTGTTTCGCATCTTAAATAATACGGCGACCTATACATTTTTTGCAATAAATGGATCGTTTAAAGTATATTGAATGAAAATAAATATAGTTTTTATACTTTGAACCTATAAAATTGTGAGGGTGGAAATTCCTTAAGGGTTTCTTTCACAGTATTTTGATTTTAAATTCTTTTCTTTAAAAGTTTGAATGAAAGTTCAAGTTTAAAGCTACTATATAGACAATTACAGATATGGTCAGGCTGGAAAAACTAAAGATGCATGAAAAATGACTCAGCACAGACTGGGCCGGACCATTCCCAAAAGTGAGTGGAAAATCCCTGAATCTGTTATCTAGTAGAGTGAAAGCGTTTATAACCAAAACTTGCTATCTTACCAATAACATCATCAATCACTTTCACCTGCAGACAGGCCTTGTCTTTTTTCCATCTTATATACTCCTCTGCCTCTTTTATGGGATCATACTTCAAACTGGAAGCCTTATAATGAGATTTTATTTAATGTATAAATTTATAAAAGTAAGAATTTTAAAAGAACAAGAGGCCCATGGGCCACATTACTCACCTGAGTAACTTTTGTGATGAAGTTCTTTACCAGATTTCCCCTCTTTTTATATCTATTGTAGCTCACTACCCCAGGATTCTTCCACATATTGTCAATTTTCCTGGCCCACTGGTTCTTGAGAAGAAGATTTTTAAAGACTTTTCCTATTTCTGATTTCTATAAACAAGAGGCCTGGGTGCCCAGGGGCCACATAGCTCACCTTAGCAAATTGGAATCAGATCAGAACTGAAATGTTTACTGAAAGGGGGTGGGGGCTTGAATTTTAATACTACTTGAGAATGCCTTCAATTTGATACAGCATTTGGTTTTGCTGTTCTTGGTAAAAAGATTTTTTTAAAACATTTTCTTCCTATATTTTACTTTGTAATAATTTAAATTTGTTTCCCCATTGTTTCCCTCCCTACCACAATGGACCATGCTTACATGTCAATATAACTTGACATAGATTTTCTGTTTTTGAAATTTTTCCCTAAAATTTTCTCTCTAAATCTTTTATTCACCATTGTGGCCCCACCCTAACCTTGGTTGTTACATGTATGATTTGAACAAATTTATATACCGGTAATTCTACACTTAGTCTACCTGAAAATGCTTCCATAAAAATACTAAAGTATTGATGTAATAGCGAGCGTTGTGAAGCGATGCTCGTAACTGCAAGCTCTAACGACAATGCCTGGGTGAAGAAAAAATTTGCACTACTGCACATTCATTCTGCCTTAGACTTTTTTGCCGCAGTAATTTTGACCCACAATCGATCGTCACTTGGTAAAGTTGCGTTCTCACGAGAATGACGCCAAATGTTTAACAAAAAGTTTACTCGCCTTCAAGTTGATTAAATGGATACATATTGAAGACAGATAGTTGTAATTTTTTTTCTTTACCTTTCAGTACTGTTCAGTTTTTAGCTCACCCAAGCCGAACGCTTAAGTGAGCTTTTCTAATCACATTTTGTCCGGCATCCGTCTGTCTGTCTGTAAACTTTTCACAATTTCGACTTCTTCTCAAGAACCCCTGGTCCAATTTCAACCAAACTTGCCACAAAGCATCCTTGGGTGACCAAACTTGCCACAAAGCATCCTTGGGTGAAGGGAATTCAAGTTTATTTAAATGAATGATTAAAATGTACTGATTGTACTGGACCTGATGATTTTTTTTTTATTATTTTTTAAATAAGAAGAGCTATCGTTTTTCTGTTTTTTGCGCGTTGCATTTAGGGAAGGAAAACCCTCGTTTGAGGGTATACCCCCGTTAGCCTGTTTTGTGTGGACTCCAAAACCGTGGAGTGATGCAGAGTTGGGTAGTGACGGAGTACAGGTAATGTTTAAATTGTACATTTATGTACGTTGAAATGCCCCTCGGGGCCCTTGCTTGGTAAATAAAATATCTTGTATCTTGTAATGGTAGGCCTTATGAACTTTTACGATACTCACAATTTACCCCTATACAATGTTGTCCGACGTCGGTTCGAGTTCCTAAAAAAAGACTGCTTTCCTCAAATAGTGTAGCGCTAGTACATCATGCTCATTTCAGTATTAATTCTAAAGGAAGGTCCTGTGAATATTGCTGGTTTCTTCCTCCACATTTCTCCTGAACTGAAGTATGCGCCATTCCAATTTACATACATTGTAATGTAAGTGGGATATCGAACTCGATAAAAAATCTTGTTACGTAATTTCGAAGATAGGCCGCATATATAGGCCTAATATTTTTAACACAGTGCAAACCAGTTTTTATAGTCGATGAATTCTACGATTCTTTTTTAACATCTTCCTTTAAACTGAAGAAATTTTCAGGGTATTACTATTAATTTTGTTTCATATGTTAAGAAGTCTTAATATTTTGCAAATATTATGCTTGTTGGTATTGATTTTAGTTGTACATAACTTGCATCAGAAGAGAAAAAGAAAATAACCATCACGAGTATTTAGTTAATAATAATTTGAAAGAGAGAGAGAGCATGTTGAGAGATAGAACAGGAGAGGATCCATAAATTTTTTGTGCCCCCCCCCCCCAACAGCGCCGGGCTCAATCATATATGTACACAGTGTACAGTACATGTAGATCCCTGGAGAGATAATACCCTGAAAAGGACCCCATTAAAAAAAATTCTCAGACTACATGCAGTAACTGTAGTCCTCAAATTGCCGGAAAGGATTTACCGATTTATATTCAAGATTTTTTTTTTTAGAATTAGAAAAAAATGTTTAATTTTGAAAACCTATAAAAATCAAATAATAAAATGCAATTTACTGAGGTCTTCTGCATATTCTGTTGATATTTGAAAAGGTACCCAAAACCCCAACTCCGATTAAAAAAAAATTAGACAATCAAAAAACTACTGTTACATGTATAATAAAATTGAATGGATTTTCAGGAATTCCAACGAAATTGAATACTTTTTCAATAAAAAAAAATGCCAAGAGAAGATTTTTGAAAACTCTGGATAAAAAATTAATTTATCAAACCCTGACTGTGATTTGTTTTATATTGAAATAAATAAAAACTCTGAAAAGGAAGGATAATGAAGGTATATGCATTGGGAAAAACATGTAGCAAAGGAAATATGAGTAATCGATCTAGCTGTTTTGAACTATTTTCAAAAGTTAGTTCTATTAGCAAATATCTAATTCCTGAAACGTTTCCATCCTCTCTCTCTCTCTCTCTCTCTCTCTCCACTCGACAAGATATAAAGGGAGTTCCAACCCCCGCGAACAACCCCTTTTCAATACGCCTTACAATGGAGAGAGAGAAAGAGAGATATAGCTAGAGAAAATAACTTTTTTTTGCAATGTATCTTTATTACGAGCGCATTTTTACCCCCGTAAACGCGAAGTTTTAGTGTATTGAGTTTATTAATCCTAGTTGATTCGATACGCTTAAGAACTTTCTAATAATAATTTCTCAAATAAGTTAATGATATACTGATATTAACTATAATCAAGACAATATGAAGCGATTTCATGTGTGGGAGTACAACTAAATACAATGCACCTTTTATTCAATGGTATCAGGTGCTTCCTGTGGATTTTACTGAGTTTCTTCAATTCTGGGGAAAACTCGTCATATTTGAATGGAAAATTTACAACATGTATTTAAACATAACTTACATGTGATCCCTGTAGACTCTGTCGTCTTCCTTGGCGTGTTGAAAATGGGTCTGGCTGTTGACTGTTCCTGTGGAATAAAATGTGATTATAGAGGGTCTATGTTTAGCAGCAACAACAACAAACACCCAAACACAAGGCAAAATATAACAATTTTATACAATCATAAAATTGATGTTATTTAAAGGATTTGATCTCATTTAACAAATTTTCCCTTAAAGGAATTTATAGTTTTTTTTTTGTTTGTTTTGTTTTGTTTTGTTCTTTTGTTTGTTTCTTTTTTTTTTGTTGTTGTTGTTTTTTTTTGTTTTGTTTTTCGTTTTTTTTTATGATAAGTGTTTTTAAGGAGGTTAAAAAATGGTTATAATTGGTCATTATTTGCGATTATCAAAATAAGTGTCTTTGACTATAAATCTCAAATGACTTTCTTGTATGCATTGCAATGTACACCGCCTTAAAGCTTCTACCACAGGGATAACACTTGACGATAAAAAATGTGTTTAAATACTTTGGCAAAATTTTATCGTTCCGTACTTAAAGCAAGACCGAGAGATATATGAATAAATATAATTTCAACCCAAATGGCCATAAAATTATGCATGATAGGTAATAAATACATGTACACATGGTAATGTTAATTACGTATGACCCCTGTCTTTCGACTGATTTCACCCCCCCCCCCCAAAAAAAGAAAACTTAATATTCACTATTTCATTACTTAACGGATTAATCAATAATTAATTTTCTTTACAAGGAGAATGATAGTCACTACTCTGAGGGGACAGAGATTCTCTAAAATCTGGGACAACGATATAAATACTCGAATTTAAATTCTGAGTTCATGTCCAACATGTGCCCTCTTAACTTTTCTCTTTTTCTTTGTCCTAATACGGTTTTTAAGTTAATTCTATTCTCCAAAAAAGATGTTACATACCCATTACAGTTTGTAAGTGTCTCCGGAAATAACAATTCTGAAATATTGAATATATTTTGCAAATTCTAGATATAGATTTCAAAAAATAACGCTCGTCCACAAATGATACATGAATCACATAGGGGTTCTGAGTAGAAACGGTATTCTTTTTCAAATACACTTATTTCTGTCGTCCGTGATGTCAGTAAAGCTACGTATGGAGCTTGATATCGAATATTATTATATGATTGAATAATTTCAATCTCTCTGATTGGCTGAGATCCAACTATGTTAGAAAAATATTACGTTGTATTGACCTGCACGTGACGTTCCAGGTCAATACAAGGATTTATTTCCTCTACATTTACCTAAAAATAGATTCGGAAATTCCAAATTGATATAAATTGTTTTAAAAAGCTATTTAAAAGCTATTTAAACGACTATGATTTTTATTTTCATGTGAAAAAACAGCAAATATATATTTTGGGTGAGGAGGTAAGAGGGGATGCAGGGACACACATCCCCCTCCAACACTTTTTCTGAACAACATTTTTTTTTAAAACTTTTTGGTAGTCAGTTTTTCCTAATAAAACTCATTCCATTCAAAATCTATTCCATAAAAAAGACTGACAATATATATTTCTCTCATGGCATTTTTTTTTTTTTTTTTACAAAAATTGATTTTAAAAAACATTTCAAATTGATACGACTGGTAAGGTTTATTCACATTTAGATTCTGCTACTCTCTTGTATTTGGCTAGGGCTTAATAAAATGCAAGCAAGTAATTAGCTGTATCATTTTATCAGTGAATCATATAATAAAACAATTATTGCTGATTTTTTCGGTCAATACAATGATTTAGCCATCTTCGAAGTACAATATTCACCTCGCCCTTCGGGCTCGGTGAATATTGTACTCCTCAGATGGCTAAATCATTGTATTGACCTCAAAAACCAGCAATAATTGTATAATATTACATTTTCAAATGTTTCCCTTTATTTAAGGTAGGTCGCGGGTTTACTGCATAAAAATTCTTACGAGATAACATATCCTGAAAATTTGATATAATGATTATTAGAATTCACAGCGTATTATCTGCAATTTTCATTAAATTTGCCTGGATAGTTTTAATACTATATTACTGTAAGCGCGGTATTGTTGTTGGTACCTTTTTTTACGTTTTACTATTGAATTATATGGGAAAATGGCGTTTTTAAGCCAATTTTGTGAAAATAGCTTTTTTGAAAAAGAATGGATAACTTTTTAAAGACGTAGACGAATTAGTCAGGAGTTTCAAAATGTGAATATCAGGTAAAATAAAAACTATTAATATAAAAAAATCAATATGTCTTCTCGCTAGATTTTTTGCTAAATAATTTCCAAAGGTTTCTTTTATACCACTAAAATGTTGCGTTTATGGCGTAATTTACATCTACAACGTCATTTGTTGAACGTAGTCACGTTTATAGTACGAGTATAAGTATCTTGGTCTCTGGAAATGCAAGATTTAAAAGATGACATAAATACAAAATTTAATTTAAATTATATCATTTCATTTATTGTGGAGACACATTAGAATGACCAGCAACTTATAATCACTAGTATTGTGAAATTCATATTCCGATCACAAAGTCAGATTGAACGGTATAAAGATTCTTCGAACCTGAGAATTAACATACAGCGACAACAACGCGAGTAATAAAATATTAAATATAAGTATGTATGTATTTTAAAGAAATTTATGGTCAGAAGGATTTCAGGCATAACACTTTATTCGAAAACGGTGAGAAAAAACATCCAGATTCAGAGGAAATAAGCGGCCGAGTCGAGGGGGGGGGGGGTTTATACTTGTTCTTTCTATATTAGCCGCAAGCTATAGTATATTGACCTATATCAAACATGCATTTATTAATTTCGAATTCTCTGAATGAATTTCAATACGCAAAATGTAAAACACATGCATTTTTAAAGTCATATCATCAAGACACATTTAGGATTTTTTCGCTTGTCGAAATATGGTTTTTGGGTATTCAAGAAGAGCAATTTCTGTGCAATAAAAAATCTGAGGGTGGGGAAATGAAGAGAAATTGTTGGCGTGCGGTATATACAATGTACATATATATTTACGAGGCGTCAGGTTAGTAGTCCATGAATGTTCCTTGCATGGTTCTAAATCTATCAATAAATACATATATTTCAACAATATTTTAGTTTAACCCTTTCGCTGCCAACGTAAATTTTTGAATTGCCAAAAACGTAACGTCACACGTAAATGACGTTACAATTGTCGTGACGTTATTAAAAATTGCGGGTTTATGTTGTATCAATGACGTAAATCGCACCTGCGTTATGTAAAATTTTAACAGAGTAAGATCCTGATTCAGCGCATGATCTTAGACAAAGTATTTTTTTATTTATATAAAGAAAGAGACATTTCAAAAAAATTGTGTTGTCTGAAGATAACGTCATCTCCGACACGTAGCCTACATGGCTGCGCGGTCGATTCCTTATTTTTTAAAATGATTTATGCATTGATTGATAATCTGGTTAAGTTACTGTACGTGAAGTATAGGTAGTGGAAAATAGATGTATTAAAGCCATCAAAATTATTTTCGAATATGAATATGAATGGGTAAACTTTCCATTTTACATACTGGTATGTATTTACAATGTACTGAAGTTACGTTAATACATTGCTTAAAAATTAAAGTACTCTGAACGCATTCTGTATGAATTTTTTTTTTCAAAAAAAAAATAATAATTTACCCCAACAAACTCCAGTGAACTCGTCTACTTATAAACCAGCTATAGTCTGAATCTCTACACTGATAAGAAGACCGTGTAATATAGGTGTTAAGACCTTTTAATATCAAGAAAATTAAAAACCTCACAAATTTTTAGAATTGCGTAAATATAAAAGAACTTTATTCGGTATTAACCAATATTTGCCCCCAAAATCAAACTTGGATGGAGATATATTTAATTAAGTTCTTAAATAGGGGGGTATGTGTTGACTTCAAAGCACTGAATATTTTCTTAAGTAATGACGTCATATGTACTAAATTGCGCCACAAAGATGACGTAAATATTAGTTTTTATGAATTTTACAGAAAAAAATATACATATTTCGTCGATATTTTGAGTAAAAGTCACCGAGCGCATGTGTGTTCAGGATCAATATTTTGATATAATGTGTAGAATGACAAAGCACTGAAATATGTCAATATTGCTCCTGAACAAACTTGCGCTCTATTAATTTTAAAGCTAAAATCGTTGAAATTTTGTCCATTTTGTCCTCTTTCTGAAAAAGGATATAAAATAGGACTAGTTTGTGACAAAAATTGTGAATACACTGCTTTGAAAATATAATATTTTCTTTTAATTTATATTTCTCATACAATTCATTGAATTCAGCACATTTCAGGAAGTTTTCAAAATTTGACTTTTGTGGGGGCAAATATATGCAGTATACCGCATATAGTTCTTTGCCTTTAGATCTAATAAATTTTGGAATATCTATAGGAAAAAGATTAATTTTCATAATGTGAAATGTTTTTATGATTTTAATATCAATCTTAAATTCTATATTAAGAAATATGGAAAATCATGTTATAATAATCTCATTATACATAATAAGCGAGTTCGGGATCCCAGGCGCGATGAGAATTCTGGGTAGGGTCAAAAGGTCAAGCGGGATAAAATGGATGGCGTTAGCGAGATTTCGTATGATGATTTCTTACGATGGAGGGTTCCGGAGCTAAAAGAATATCTCCGCGATCGAGGCCTCAAGACAACAGGCAGGAAAGTGGAGCTGGTAGCACTTGCCTTCGGTGCAAGCCAGATGAAGATCGAAACGAAAA